AAAAACTTCAGATTGTGAGTGGGTCCTTAAATGTTTTATTGCATAGAAATGGACTTAATTAGGTGCTCAAATATTTTCTGAACTAAGACAAAAGTTAGCTGAAAAAAGTCAAGTGAGGGCTGATGAACAGTGACAATGAAAAACGCAGGGTACTTTTATGTAGCGAGTCTTCCATCTTCTCAGCCTGTACTTGTTCTATGAGGAAAAAGGCCACTATTTTTTAGGGCAACTGAGACCTTTACAAACAAATAATCCTTAATTCTGAGTAGCTGATGGCTAGCTGAGAACGGATGTACAAGGGCAATTGTTAGTTATCACATAGCAATACTGTAAAGATTCTCCTCCGGGAAAAAGATTACTCCTCTTTTAGCCATGTAAGAGAAAGCAATTAAAAACGGACTATATGGAATTCTGAAATTGCTTTTTTTGACAGATGATACTTTCAGCAACTTGGCTACACAGGTAACTTACAATATTGTCAACTAATTTCAGAATATTAAAAAAAAATCAAAATTTTGAATTAATTGTGAAATTTTGGTTTTACTTCTAAATAACTTACACATGCTCAACCATTTCATTTACATCCAGATATTATGCAAGCTATATCCCTAATAACTGGAAATCTACTAACACATTCAATATTAACATTAAATAAGTTTCACTTGCAGCTAGAGAAAAAGAACATCAAGAATCCATAGAAATAAAATGGCACACTAATGAAAATTTCTTTTAAAAATGAGTACAAATTCAACTTGTCTGTCACTTAAACTGTAATCTCCAAACCCCCAGTTAACTTTAAATTGCACTCCATGAGACAGACGCTGTAACTTTTCATCTTGCAATTTAACTCGTTGTTCCATCAGCACTGGGGGAGACCTCAAAAGAGGTGCGTGCAGATGTGCAGCTCTGAATACCAGGGCCAGGACTGCATGCACTGCCAAGCTTAATAAGCTGCATGGTAGGCCAGTAACACACAAATGTAATTAAAGAGAAAAAAAAAGCAGGGGACAATTGTTACCTTGTTAAAAACTCCACCACAGCATCTCCCAGAAATTCTAAACGCTCGTTGTGATTGATCCTGAAAAAGGTATTTCAAGATTTACTTTCAGGTAAATAATACATGTTGGCTATTTGCACAACGAAGTTAAAACAGAACAAGTTTGACTTGCTTGGTAATCAGCCTCAAATAGCTGTGCTTGCAGGTTCCCCCACCCTCTTTGGGGCAGATCCTTTCCAAAATACAGCAACGACTACGTGAATCATCAAACTCAGGACTGACGCTGCAGTCTTTTAAAGTTTTGCCCGTCAGAGGGCACCAGGTTATTTGAAGTAAATGACCATCTTTCTGGTGTGTGCCCCTCTGGGGGGGGAGTACACAGTGAACACCTGCACCTGCACCATGTGGTGACCCTGAACTACATCCAATGGTTTGTCAGAGCTACCTGGAATACTCTTATTTTTCATAGCACCTTTGAAATAGTGTGCAGAAGTACACTATACCCTGGCCTCTGTAATTTCCTTTCAGCTCAAAAGAAATATTACTAGAGAACAAGATGCTCTTCAAATTTAGATTTCAGACCTCTTAGATGCTCTAAAATTAGCAGAATCTTATTTTCCCGTGTTTTCCTTTTCATAGCCCCTATCATCCCTTCCTCTACTAATGTTCATGACTGTCCTTTGCTTTGCACAGAGTTTCTTCTCCTCCAAACTCTCTGCCTACTTATTTAATAAATTAATAACTGAACAAAGGATCCGAAAAAACCAACAGGAGTTGAATTATATCATAGAGTATATTCCAATTTCTCCACTACACCTTGAAGCAGGTAAAGTAGTACCATTTCGGCTTACATGGGAACAGAATCAAGGCCATAGCTAGGGGAATTTTTTTTAATCCTCCTCAAGTGGTTGACAGCTTTCACTGCAATTTGCACTCCCCGAGTAATTATCTAGTTCATCTAACTTGAGAGATAGCAGGCCTTTGTTTAAGGGCTGAAAGAATTCAAGTACCTTTGCTGTGTAAAACAATCAAGTGCGAGCAATTCCGTAACTCCTCTTTGCAGGGGAAGCGCAGCAAACGCAGACCTCTCAGAGGCACGATTTTATATTTGTGCATTATTTGGTGCGAATTAACACAATTCAGCCTTACCTCACATTGTCTTAAAAGAGCTGAAGCAAGCCTTGAAGCTGACCCTCAAGGGAGAGGGCACAGTCTAGCTGAAACAGCACCAGGGAACGCCACAAGAACCATTTGTTCAGAATCCAACCTCTCCCGCTCCTCGGCTTCCTCCAAAGTGATGACTCTTTCAAAAGGTCCAGTTACAGCACGAGCTAACTAGCCTATGCTCTGCCCCCTCCTTTAAGCACTTAGGAGCTTTCACATGCACAACTGTTTCTTACATTAATCCTGTGAGTTTTTTTTTTTCTTTTTTTTTTTTTTTTTTAATTTAACCCTAGCTGTTTATGCATCTGCTTTAAACTGGACCAGTACATCTTCCCAGTCCACGGTCAGTACTATATTCATATTAAAATGGTGCCACGCTAGGAAAGTACAGCTGTGAGGGAAGGTGATGAAGAATCAAGTCTGAATCAGTGGTAGCAATAATTATAAATCTTATTTTTCATTTTGCAGAAAATAAACGGTAGACTTTTAGTCTTCCTCATTTCAAGGTACCCAAGTACAAACCGTGGAATTACCTTCTACTTCTGCCTATCTTCAAAAAGCTTCTTTGCACGTTTTCTGCAGACACAACTATGTCATTGCAGAAAACACACTTTCAGAAAACAAAAGGCAATTCAAATCACCTTGCATTTAATCTGTTTGTCAAAGCTGCTGCTGCCAGTAAGTTGGCTGATACTGTTAAACCTCTCCCTCTGCAACAGTTTCCATGAGTGTAAACAGACCATACAATATGTTGCACAAACCTAAGGTCTGCTATTTTCATTACCTGGAAGGAGCTGGATCATCCTGTCCCAAACGAGACATAATATTTATCAACGTGTTTATCCCTGAAAATATAAACAATGCACAGTTAAATAAGCAACCACTAATTCAATCTGAATGGGCTTAAAATTAATTAACATGTTACTTTGTAAATGCTATAGACAAGATTATTCTGTTATTTATAGGGTTTACTTACAGCAGGTAAAATCCTCACAGATGCTCTCTGTCTAACTGACAGCCTTCCCATTACAAGCTGCTTTTGCAATATTGTGTTCAGAGAGCCAGATAAAAATATCACCTTCGCATGAAAAAGACATTCCAAACATTACACAAATAATAAAGAATTTACACCACTATAGCTGAATACACTTAAGGGGTAAAAATTATTCTGCAGTAGACAGACCACATTTTCATAACTTCTTTCCCCCCATAATATATCCTCCAGTATACTCACCATGTTGAACAGCAAATTATAAGAAAAATGCCAAAAAATCAAAGTATCATAAAAGTTCTAATTCATTATTGTAGCTTTGTGTCACCTACTCACTTACTGATTGATTTGCAAAGCCAGTTATTCCAGAAAGATCTCACTGCTTTATGTGTATCAAATCCTCCATTAAAACAACTCAGAAGAGCAAAGGCCAGTGAAACAATAACAAACAGAAGCTTTTCATGCTGAGTAAGAGCAAGAGGAGGGAAAAGGTAGTGGTGGAACCGTATACCTTTTTTTCTCATGTGCATATGGTGAACTTTTCTGTCTCCATACTTTGGCTGTCGAATCCCACAGTTGGATAAGGAATTTCTGGCATGGTCCGGATTCATTCCAAAGTTTAAGTGATGGCTTGGATGAGTCATGGCAAGCTATAATGTAACACATGCAAAGACAAAAAAAGTCTTAGATGTATTTTTGCAAATGCAGGAAAAAAACTTAGAGTGGTAGCTAATAACAGTTATTTTTTTACTTTGCAGAAAAGCTACAAAGCGATGTTGTCAATTAGAACTTCGTTCTGGCAATTTAAATGTAGGATGTACTATTTCAGATGTCAGAAAGAAGCAATATTTATGCCCAATCATCACTTTAACTAATTAACTTTCAACTGAAAAAAAAAAAGAAATTAGTTTTGAAGAAAAAAGCATGAACTGTCAATTCTCCCTTGAGGTTCTGCTTACCAGCTTGGCTGAGTTAATTTAAATACAACCATGTTTGCTTACTTAAACATATCTTCTTTTTAATATTGCAGAAGGAATATTCATATTAAAATTTGGACAAACAGAAAGTATTGAAAATGTTCACATATGTGATCAAGTAAAAATTTCCTATTTCATAAACGACAACAATAAACGAGCACATTATCTTTGACATGGATACAAGAGAATTCTTCCTCACATGACTATACAGGGCTTCTCTTGAAATGAAAGTATACAGCAAGGGCAGGATTGGTCTTTACTTATACATCTGTACTATCTAGCATTATCAAAAGATTACTTCTCTACTGCTGACAATATAAAACAGGGAACAGAACTATTTGCCTTTTATGACTTCATCCTCCAAACTCACGCGTTTCCTCTTCCACCACGCTTTTAGTTCTCGGTTTATTTCTCAGAAGCCTCAATTTACTTAACACAGAATACTGGGGCAATGAAACCTCACTAGCACACACAAATGCATTTTTTGAAGTTGGAGAAAATTTATCCATCCAAGTCCCATCCACAGATCCACAGGGAGAGAGAGATTTGGAGGGGATGCAGAACAGAAGTCAAATGAAACTTGACTGACAACTGAAACTACTGGAAGACCTGCCAAGCAAATAATCAGGCATTTTCAAGTTAGAGCACAGGAACTCAGTTCCATGAATTTGCATAGCAAGCAGTACTATGTCCAAATTCAATAATTTTAGAAAGATAAAAAAGAAAGTCTTTTTTTTTGTCCTTTTTCTTTTTTTTTCTTTTTTTTTGGCAGATCTTACCTGCAGCAAACATCTATCTCGGAAAGTGTAGCCTATCAGTTTGTCCAAATGCATCAGGCACTGATGGTAGCGAATATGGTGTGTGAGGACAGGAAGCATCATCGCATGCTGCAGAAAAATAAACAAACAAAAAAGGAATTCCAGTAGGCAAAAGCATTCAATTTCAGTGCACAGGGGACTCTGAAACTACACTACAAACAGAAATACATTCTATTTGTCATAACACTTTGAAATCTACTCTGTTTTGATTTAAGGAAGAAAAAAAATAATTAAAAAAAATTCATTGCTTTCGACTTCTCATCAGCCAAACACTTAAACAAATTAGATTTTACCATTCGCATAACCACTGTAAGGAAACAAACCAGGACAAAAACAAAGAAAATCAGTCTGCTCCTGAGTTACTCTGAATGTGGTAAAGAGACATCTGGTCACCAGTAAGGTCAAGATTCAACAAGCCATGACTGAAATGACACTAGCTGCCTGGATCTTCCCATTTCACATCCTTAAGTTTTAGGCTAGTACAAAAATAATAAAATAAAATAATAAAATAAAATAAAATAAAATAAAATAAAATAAAATAAAATAAAATAAAATAAAATAAAATAAAATAAAATAAAATAAAATAAAATAAAATAAAATAATTTCAATGGGCAACTCTACTTCTCTGTCTGCATGGTCTACTGCAGAGGCCCCAACTCTACTTCTCTGTCTGCATGGTCTACTGCAGAGGCCCCAAGACAAAAATAAACCCCACAGTTCCTCAGGCAAATCTTAATATTGTTTATATTTAGCAACCCTATACATGGCCCTAAGTTTGAGGATCTGGAATATCAAGTTTTCGATTTTAGCAGCGGTGATAGCGTGAGAGAGGAACTGATACCTCCCTGGGAGCCAGGCAGAAGGTCTTAACTTGGCTCTTGCAGCCCTCTTGACAAAGCGCTGCTTTCACAGCACTAAATACTTGATTGATTCAATTAATGCACGTCATGTTGGATTATAGCTATTTGATGGTGTGGATGCTTTATTTATCTCCTTAAAACAAACTGTAAAATAACATGCTTTAAAAAAAATGTATTACACTGAAGAATGGCCAGTGATTTAGAAGAGCGTCTCCCAAGCCACGCAGCAACAGGCCGCAGGAGCTGTGCCCCAGCCTTGGCACCTGAACGGGGTTACAAATGCGTCAGCCATTTTACTTCGTACAGGCACTTTCGGCCATGTTGTGCCTTCTCTTCCTGCCCCAGATGGTGGTAGGAGGCGGTGGGGTCTCCCTGGCTATCCGGCAGTGCTGCCGTCCCCCCGGCTCGCAGGCAATGGCCGCTTCCTCAGAGCGGCGGCGCTCCACGACACGAAGCTCCTAAAGAGCCCGGCAAGATGAAGAGCTTTGAAATGCAGCATTTCTGTCCTAACCCGGAGTGCTGGGTCAGGCTGGAAACAGTGCCAAGAGCGGGGAGCAGCGCTGGAGGCGGGATCAGCTCCGCAGGCTCCAGCATGGTCAGGTTGTGTTGGGAATGGTGGCCCAACACAGCAGTGCACGCGGCCTCCTGGGTAACTGTAGGCGAGTGTGACAAAACTGAACCATTTTCCATCTTCAGAACACTTTGCTTACCCCTTTTCCATCTTCAGAACACTTTGCTCACCCTTTTTTCCTTCCCCTTCCCCAATGTGCTTCATTTTGCAAACCAGGAGGACAAGTGTTACTGCTGCTGCACGAACCATAGAGCAGCTCTGAAGCATCAGAGCGCTTCTGCAGCTTGAAAGTTTCAGTCTTTTAAGATACAGTGCTTCTAAAAGGTAAAAAAAATTTGGATCACTACGCTTTGGATCTACTCTACCCACAGAGTAGATCTACATGTATTTAGTGCTAGTCCTTCTATAATCTGGGGAAAACAGTAAGAACAACACTGATCTTTCATTTTACGGATATACACTTGGCCTATTCTTGACCCCTCCAAGAAATCAAATCAAATGGCTTTCGTATCAGAATCAGCTGGCTTAGGGTGAGTGGCTGTGGATGTGAACAAAAAGAAATAGCTCACTGCTCCTTAGTGATTTGCAGTTCTTCAACAGCAAACAGGAATATCGAATGAGACATTAAAATAAAGATCACAGGAGCTATTATGAATAACACACCCTACTGTTTCAAATCTCCTAAATGATAAATTCACACTCTCAATTTAACCTGTAACTATAGATACTGTTTACCACAAGAACTCTGTCTCCTCAGTTTTCCTTTTATATAAAAATATTAGCCTTTATGCTTCACAGAAAATATATAAATAAATCTCAAAATAGAAACATAACTAAAATAAGAATATTTAAAATTCATCCAGTTGAATGAAAGAAGCAGCCCTAGAAGTTCAGTATGAGGCTCAGATTTTGAGTGACATAGGTTACTGCAAGGTTACTGCATGTCAAAACGTAAGCCCAGACTGCCCACTCCTGGCCACCCTTTTTGCTATAATTAATCAAATGGTTGGCCAGTGCTAGGAACTAAAAAGAACTAAGCCTAAAACTTGGCTTTCTTCTGTGGCTTTCTTCTGTTCCTCAAACACAAAGATACGTCAAGGCAAAAGGATTAATTTCCAGTGGTTGCTCTTCAGCTGAGCATGACCCTTGCAAGAGGTGAGTGGCAGCTAATGACAAAGAAAACGCATCATCCCCAGCTTAGCCACCTGGCAGACGTCGGAGCGAATCCCGGTTTTCCAGAAGCCCTGGCTGCTCAGCTCCACAGTCACCTCGCGTCTCATCGTGTTCTTCTGCCGGATCTTCTGCAGCGCCTCCTGGACATGGAGAAAACGGGGAGCCCATGAGGAGGAACCTGCTACACCTACATGGTGCTAAACCATGCAGGAGGCTGCTCACAGTATCTGCCGAGGGTTTGCTTTTAGGGAATCATCAAGACTAACTTTTGAGCTACCAACCCCTAGTTTTTTGCACCATCAACCACAAGAAACTGGCGCATGTGCAGGCAGCACGGAGTTTTGCTAGACAAAACAGTGGAGTTTCCATGGCAAAAATGACAAGATAAGCCAATCCCACAAAGCATCAAAAGTTCCGCGGGAACTTAAGGAAAAATTTCTTGACAGTGAGGGTGACAGAGCACTGGAACAGGCTGCCCAGAGAGGTTGTGGAGTCTCCTTCTCTGGAGATCTTCCAAACCTGCTTGGACGCAGCCCTGGGCCCCATGCTCTGGGTGACCCTGCGTGAGCAGGGGGTTGGACTAGATGACCTCTGAGGTCCCTTTCAACCTTAAGGATCCTATGATTCTATGATATGGTCACAGGGGAACAAGTGGCCAATGGCAGAGGGAAGGGACACACCTATGGCACTGCAGCCCTTATGCAGGTCCAAACACTGCATGTGGAGACCAAGCCACGGTTGCTCTCTGCGAGAGGCGCTAGTGCTGGCTACACCTGCTCTTAGAGGGCATGCTAACTGGCTCGGGAGCACTCCGGTTTTACTCACGAGGTATAATTCATAGTTGTGAAACGCCCACATGCCAGTCAGATGCACCCTAAAGCGCCTACTAAGTTACTGACACCTCCATTGTCACAGTGCATAGGTTATCCTCAGATAAAGCTTTTACTTCACTCCTATACATCTCTCTGATGGCAGGCAATCACTTGAGAAACCCATCATCCTAGATAATACAGTCTAGGATCAAAAGTCAGAGCACTAGAGTAGACAGTAAATACTGAAGGAATGTTATTTACTTTTTGCAACAGAACACATTCACCCTCCTACATCCAAAGCACTACAATTTTAAAAGTAAGTCATCCATTAGCCACTAATGAAGAGATGTTCATAAGAACAGTCTTCGCTTCCACTTGATCTCCAAGTGTGGAACGCTGTAATAAACAGAAAAAAAACCCACCTCCTTTAAGGACAAAAATCAATTACTCCTTTAAGTGGTGGCACAGGTGAGTTTCAATATTGTGGTTCTTCTTATTTACATAGAAAAAAATCGAGGAGTTCAGGCTTATTTGATACTGACATAAATAAATTGCTAATTAAGCCCCTTGCTCATGCAACAGCACACCATGCTTTACAGTAATAATAAAATCAGGTGAACCATCAAATATATCGAACAACTACTGCAACCACAGCAACAGAATTAGCAAACTGGGGAAAACTGAAAAAAGCACAAGGCTTTGTAATAAATAAATAAATAACACAACACCACTTCATTAGATTTATTCTATACTAATAAAGTTTCTTCCTCTTCTATTTATCCTTTATATAAGTTGTCCAATTAAGAGTGCCTGGTACACAGTGCTCAGTCCAGGATGTTAAGAGACAGATAACTCAGAGCAGGTTGTGTTAGTCCATGTCTAGGTGACTTTATTTTGCCAACTTTAATTTTGCATTGGCTGAGCATCTGCACTCGAGAATTGCTTACTAAACATCACTTTGGGGAAAAAAAGAGAAAGATCAATTTGAACAAACACCTCACTTGCTATTAAAGACTACTGAAAATAAAAACTAGATGAATCAACTATTTAAAAAAAATACGTATTTTTCTAGCAAAACTCCCAAACCTCATCTTCCATGGATTTGAGTTCTGTTGTTTCTGTCCATTACGCCAGACCTTAAAAGAACTTCACTACAACTGCCTAATAAATTACAATTTAAAAGGCTGCACAAGTGTAGCAGTTGTCTTTCTAAAGACAAATGTTTAAAATTATGAGACACGTAAAAGAGCTGTCTGAAATGAAAAGTTCGTGCCTATACTAATTCCTGGAATCATTAATGACGATGATCATAAAGAAGTTATGGCTATACACTAACAGGAAAGGATAAAAATAAAGTCAGTGCAACGGCTTGAAAGGACAATCTTTTCTGAAGGATTTCCAATTGTTTCCATGAAGGGCAATCATATGATTTTATTCAATCTGTGCTCAACTACTGTTTATAGGAAGGGCCACCATACCTCTCGTTGCGATAATTTCTGCTTATCGGCCTGCTTGACTTTGGGACTGTTGGCCAGCAGGTGACGCAGCTTCACGTAACTCTTCCACAGCTTTTGGTATCTGAAGGACAAAAAGAGAAAACAAGTATTTTGGTTAATGCAACAAAAAGCTCCTGCAACTTGGCCGTATGAACATCTCAGCTACCAATAATTTATTTACACAGATCTTTAACAGGTATCTTGTTGCTCCAGAGAAATCTCAAAGCATTTTCCAAGAGAGGTCCCAACGCTACCGTGTCTGCCCCAGGGTTACGGACACGGCCGCAGAGGAGAGGCTCGAGCCTGTGCTGCAAGGCTGGGATGGCAGAGCTCAAGGGTAGACCTGAGGTCTCCCAATCACCCACCTTTGCCAATGGGTCAACTCCCATGAACTGCAAGTGCTTGGCCCCATGGCAGCTCAATTTGGACACTGCAGCACTTCTCCAAGTTTTCAAGTATGAGAACTCTGCTTCTCAAAGAGGTTTCACTCATCACTTGCTGAACAGAAATAGTAACCTGTCCTACATTGGCCGAAACATTTCGGTGAAGCACAGGGAGAAAGTCTCTGTAAGCCGGGTGCAACATACAGCCACTCTGTGAAGAAGGAAAGAACAGAGCTTGAATCTCTATGGTTTTGTGCTGAACAGAGCCTGCAAGAGAAGCTTTTGCTGCACTTGGGATATACATAAGGCTTCTCTTTTTCCTCTTGCAGCAAGTGTCTACTTATTTCGTATTTTGGATGCATCTAATTGCATGTGATCCAAAACGACTGCACCTTGTCCTTTGGGAAGGAGATTCTGGAAGTCCCTCTGCAACACAACATCCACTTTCACGACTCTGCTCAGCCCTTAGTCCACTCATAGACTACACCTCAGTACTCTATTTGGTTCCAATTGATTATCAGGTTCGAGAGTGACTACAGGAGGACTGGTCAAGCATGGTGTGACCCTTGGTTCCTCAGAAAATAAGTCTATAATCGTAAGATAATCACGAACTACACAACTTTGCAAGAAAACACACACACAAAAAAGCAGACTTCTGGGGACAGAGAGGAGAACTTAAGTAATTTATTTTCTTTTTTATTATAAAGAGATACTCCTCAGAACCTTCTTAGATCAGTAGTTTTACTGTGAAGTTATCACACTAATGACAAACCACTGAGTGGATTTCATAATCTCTCCAGGATGCCAGGCTCTCAAATGCACATGTGCTTGCACGCACACACACACACATCTCTTACTGGCATTTTCTCTTAGATATTTCTCCACATCATTCTTCAATGTGCATTTTTTGTTTCAAGAGATTTCAGTATCTTTAGAGTTTACAAATATATCTGAAGTGTGTGCAATCTACAGATTTTTCTTATGTCCGTTTCCTGCCTTTCTGCAAGCTGCAAAATAGCTTTTTGCAGAACACCCATTTCTGATGAATTCTCATCCAAAAAGTACAATGAGATACCAACCAGAAAGCAAAAGCCATGAAGAAGTTTCAGCCCGAAAAGGAGACCAAAAGTCTACAAAGTTCAATATGAATTTTGCTAGTGGTTCTGATATGGGTCCAACCAACTCTGTTATTGCAGGGAGGATGGAAGAATGATAAACAAGCGCACAGCAAAAGCAGATGCAGTGCATCAGAAGCTCATCAAGGAAAGAAACACTAGAGGAAATACTTTCAGAACTCTGCATAATTCACACATACATCAAAGCTAAGCCTGAGATTTATGATGACAACGCAGAGGTTTTCCACAAAAACTACGCTTTTACTTCAACAGAAGCAGCACATCTAAATTCCCTGTGCAGCTTTGGAAAAGAAAAAAAAAATCAAGATTTTAAATAAGGTTAAAAATAAAAAAAAAAAAGGTGAGAAGAATAATCTTTGCATTTTTATACTGCCTTATATGGAAGATGTTGCCTTTTCACAAACATTAAGAAATCGAGCCACAAAACAGAGGTAGGGGTGTATTTTCTTATATTTCTTTCTCTAATTATTCTCTATTTGTAGGCAGAAACACCAAAACCATGCCCAAAAGAAAACAGAAAACGTTCTCTTATTCGAACAGGCACTCGCTTTTCCTATTTCCCAACCCTGTAACTTACCTGCCAACTAACATGTAAATTTAAAGTCCCAAACAAGTTTCCTCCCCATTCTTAACTTAAGTAGAGAGGCTGAAAGCATGAAGAATTTAGCAAAGCCAGTACTGTTGAGTTTGAAGTCTTGTAGGCCAAGAAAGTGCAGTTTCCTCTAAATGAAAGACAGCTCCAACATGATTCCTGACAACCACAGGAGTGAAGAGTGAGGTAAAAATTTGCTGATGATACAAAATTATTCAGGACTGTAAACTGAAATTTCACTGCTAAGAGTTTAAAACACTAATAAGACACAAGTGACGAGAGCAGAAAATGGCAGATGAAAGTCAGTGTCAATAAATGACACTGGAGGAAAATGAAGAGGGAAAAAAAGCTTAATCATACATGCACAGGAAGGAGTTCTGTATTTCTGTTACCATTCAAGGTATGAGATCTCTGAATCTATGGGAGAGTTCCCTGAAAAGTAAAATAAATTATCAGGAAACCCACTTGTGAACAAAAAGCAAACAAAACAACAACAAAACCAGCAATCCCCATGGGTCACTATTCAAATCCACAGTGGAGCAGTAAGTTCTCATCTGCCTGGAGTTCGGGTTCCCTCACTGCTCCTTCCCTACACTTCTCCCCAGCTCCAGAAGGATGGAACAGGGAGAGTAAAAAACATCAGCGATGCAACAGTTTCCAAGCTAGGAGACAGGAAAAGGACTTGACCCCTCAAGTCATAAAAAGGGACAACTTAGAAATATATGACAGAGCGCATAAAAGTACGAATGGCACAAAGAAAGCAAACAGAAAATTGCCATATTATTTGTTATAACACCTGAAGAGCACCTAATAAAACGATCAAGTAGAGCCCTAACATAAGTGAATGTCCTTTTTCCATATAATCCACCGCAGTCACAGGGAAGCAGTTATCTGCAACCTTCTGACTGACACTAGCATAAATTCAAGCAGCGATGTGAGAAAAAGAAAGGTTCCCTCACAGCAGTTAAACGAAGGAGGTGCGACATCCTCGAGCTCTGCAGTTCGTATGCTACAAACTTCTGGGGCCATGGGCAACTACTTTATTTTCTTGCCTTTCCTGTTACACTGTTCTCCTCTTAAAAATCCCTCACTGCCCACTGTGAGTAACAACATGGAACTAGAGAAACCTATTGTTTGACCTAGAAGAGTAGCTCTCCAAATATTTCTTCAGAAATATTCTCAATTTAATAATGTTTGTGTGTGCACACTTGTTTCAGAAACTGAAGTTTACAAAGGAAAACCCTAAATTTAACTAGTTAAATAAATTATACCTCATATTCTCTAATTTACAAAAGCTAGTGTGTCCAGTTCCATAAGCACTAAGCTTTTTAACCAGACTCAACAAGCACATACACAAGCCCTATTTAAGGCACAAATGACAACAGTAATGAATTTCCAAACAAGAGACTGAAGGAAAAGCATCTTACTGAGGATCTCCAGCATAACTGAGTTGAGCAGGTCGTATCCCAAAGTGGACAATGATGGGGAAAGTAATTACATCAGGATTGAACTGTTCGCGGTCCAGCTGATCGATGCGAACTGAGCTGGGTTTCTAGGACGAAAACAAAATTCACCTAATTAACAACAGTTCCATGGAAGATGTACTGTCCCTAGCCCATACTGCCCAGGAAAATAAGAAGCGGCAAAACTCCCATCTTATTAAAATACACATAATATTTATCATTTGTACCACAATCAATATTTGACAACGGCAATGACTGAGTCAAAGTTAATTGACTTGGTTTCCTCTGGGAAAAAAAGTAGCCTTTTTATTTTAATTTTACAAGTGCATGTATTTATTTGTTTTCTGAGAACTTACAGCACCTTCCTCTTGATCTAACATCACACTGAAAATAATACCAGGCTTTGCGTTCCGGCACCCAAACTCCCACATCTCTGAGGATTTCACTAGATAGCCCTCTGATTTTAGTTCTCTTCCCAATATCCATCGTAAGTGAATCCCTTGTTACATCCATTCAATCACAGCGACTAAGTGGCACAAAAACCTGTCAGGCCACTCTTCGAAAAGGCTCCTGGGCTGACGCACATAGGAAGGCACACAGTCTTGTATAATGAGGAAGATTTTTGTCCTTCTTATACTTCAAAACCAAAGTTCTCTTTATAGTTAAAAGGACAGTGTAGAAGGAGGCAACTTTCACTTCACCTCTAAAGACGCAGAAAATGAGTAATTACCCATCACTGCCGCAGACCTGCTGCTTGCGGAGCTCTCGTTTGCCTACCAAACATATTTACAAACTCAGTGGACGGTGCACAGCTTGTCTCCAAATAAATACCATTACCTCCATTACCTTGCACGCAGCTTTGTTATGTGCTTGCTTACGCCCCACCACACCATCAAGCTGGATGAAGCCAATGTTTTCTGCTTGTCTAAAGTTCTAGAAAAGGGGCATTACTTTTGGTTACCTGCATCTCAAAACTGTCAATTTAGCGCAAAGAATTTCTCAAAGATGAGTTTCAGACTTTCTTCTAACAAAACACCACAAACCGTGTCGAGAACAAAGCTTTAATCCTTCAAACCACCTCTGTAGAACTATTTACAGAAATCATTTTCTGCATGGATAAATGAAGCCAATACTGGAAGGAGAGGTAACCCTCCTCAGGTGGCCAAATGACTTCTCCACTGTTGAAAAACTTATCTAAAACTTGGACTTTTCAGATAAATGTTTTCCAAGGGGAGAAAGGCTTATCACTTCCCTTTTGACAGGATGACAAAAGATAAAGTTTCATCTATCCAACCGATTATACAGAGCAACCCACGACTCAGTTTGCTCAAGCAAGCTAGTGAAAAAAAAGAACAGCTCTTGCAGACAGTACTTCCAATAAAAAAGGGAATGGGACAGCAAATTCTAATAAAAAACACGGGGAGGATCTGCAGCAGGCAGAAAGGTGTTGTGTAAACCAGAGCTTAAAGTCATAAAACTTAAGCTCATCTGTTTTTGTTCTCTTTGCACAAAGCCAACTTGGAGAGCTTTTATTGTCTTCAGAGAAGTCATTTGCTACTTCTCCCATCCCATGGCACTAGAAAAGAATTTTTTTAGGCTTGTTCTTTTTCAAACAGATGTGCACACACACACAGAGCCTGCCTTACTATCTATCAACAATTCTTCTGGGAACAAAGATGACAAAATCCGATTAACAGGACATTTAGCAATCATTACTCTCAATATACTGATTAGAATCAATATATTAAGGACATACAGACAGCATTTTCCTGTTCAAATGCTCCACATTTCAGACACCTAAGCAGAAGTAGGTTGAATCTCAGAGGTGGGAAACGGAGAGGAGCTTTCAGGGTCTGTGCTAAATGTGTGGACTCAGCACCAGTTAAAACTGGACCCTTTTGGTTTATTTAGATGGCACTGTCTTTGTATTCAGGCATTCTGTCACGTGAAGAACTTAGGAAATGCCAAACAACAACCAGGACAAAGACCTCCTTGTTGAAGATTTATTGCAACTGTTCTGTCCCTGAAGATGGAGAGACGCTCAACTTAAACACAGAAAGTTTTTAGCACCGTGGAGACCAGTTTCATCTCTGTGGTGCTTCTGGAGGTTAAATGAATGAAACTGAGCCTAAGTAGCATCATACACAAACATACAGTATAAACTATGTACCAGGAGACAGAATACAAACAAATAAAGTGTTACTTTTTTTCAGATTTTTATCCCTCTCTAAAGAGTGCCTTGACAAACCACAAACAATCAGAACCCTACTTTTAATATCTCACCCAAAAGGAGGAAATCCTAATGGAGCAGAGACCCGTTATCTTTGTTCCCTACTCCAAACCTCGTCAAGGTTTTCCTTGTAAAAGTAAGCACGGTGGGACTAGAGGCAGACATCATATGAAAGTGTGCTAAAACATATAAATACATATGTGTGTGTGTATACATATATATGCATGTATTAATTAAAAAAAAGCAGCAGCATTTTAGAAAGAGTAACACATTAAGATCTGTTAACCTTTAAATCTCTTCCAAAATGAAGTTTTCAAGAACTAACAGAACACCATGAACATACTGAACTGTTTTAAGTAATGAGGATATACTGTTAGCTGTTTAAGTAAATGTGATTTATGTGCTTGTCAATTTTTTTCCTTTCTCCATTGTGCGTATGTACACCTCACATCTTAAAATAAAGCACAGCTTAAAGAAAACCTGGATCTGTTCTCGGGAGAAACTGTTATTTCTGAAGTGCTATTGTGGAGGAAAGCAGCAAAATAAAATTTAGTGTTTTACTTCATTGTGTCAAGTAGACAAAATGGAATTGAAGAGCTGTCATTTTATAATACTGTTTCACATTGTCTCTATAATAGAACTGTTCCATCTTATAACATGTGGTAAGATGCACAGAAAATACTTTCATTCTCTATTTCTCACTTTTATACTCAACAAAACATGCTACAATCAACTGAAAAAAAAATTCATAGACTAAGAAAAAAAACACTACAAAATGTCTTCAACAGATAATATTATAGCATGATCTTTTTCAAAGTGTTGTAAATTTCTTTCATGTTTTTATATTTTGTTATCCATACATACTCTAAAAATTATGTATTGTAGAATGCTAAGTTCAGTAAAAATCACATGAAATCCTACAGCTAACACTAGCAGGCACAGAATGCAGTCTGGTGCATAAAGACATTTACAGATCTTTCAATCATGTAAAAAAGGAGCATATTATATACACGTATCTTTACACTAAGATATACCAAAGCAACAAAAAAGACCAAGGGTTTAGTGGCAGAAATCAGCATAGCTTCAGCAAATGAAACTGTGCTGCCTTGTCCCTTGCACTGGGGAGATCACGGTGGCCACAGGGAACATTAAGTTAGACAGTTAAAACAGTCTAACAATTTCTGTTATGATATTCTGATTTAAGACTCAGCTTTTAACCACCTGTAGTAAAATGAGGAGAGGGTTTTTTCAGTAAGCAAACTAGGAGTGATTCCAAGTTACAGATTTTCAGGTTTTCGGGACAGGTTGAAAAATTGTGAAACGAGCAAGGAAGGAAAATGAAGTTAGGGAGGGAGAAAAAAAGAAAAAGAAGAAAGGTCTTACAATTGAGAAAGCTGGATGGTAGTCTTTAATATGTAGTCCAAAATACACCTCTACTACTGAGATGCCATCTTTCGGATACTGAGCAAATCACATAAACAAAATCCTGTAGTTTAGTTCTTTCCATTTTTCTGTCCTGTTTCTGTTTTTTTCTTGTGCTCGTTTCCAGAGCATGAAATTCAGGAAAATGGGCTAAATTTGCATAAATACTGGAGTGTAAAGGAGCTGTGTTCTGAGAATATATATTTTAAAATACTAACTCTTCCAAAAAATAATAAAACTATACAGGTTTCAAGTTTGGCACTGAAAATTAATGGATGCATTCATTAATACACATGAAATTCTTTGGTATGAGTGAGAGCAGCATAGCAACCAGATGAAAAAACATACAGGCAGAAAAGACCTTTTACTTATTCAGGGCAGAATCCGGATAGAGCACATTAGAGCTGGGGTTCAAAAGAGGAAGATGAAAGAAAAGCTAAAATAATTACTAATTCTCTGGGCCTACATCACAGAAAACAGAATGTGATCAGGCAGATAAAGACTGTCATAAAGAATATGAAAGCAGAGGGGCAAACTAAGGGTTCATATAATTAAAGTACGGCTATTCCGTTTAATGCACACATTTAAACAGTGCTCATCTGGAATCCTGTCCTTCGGTAGGGAGGCAGAGGGTGCAATTCCTGCCAGGGCTGGGACAAGTCAGTGCCCTTTTCCTATTTCAAATTGCCATTGGTCATCTTTTCCACTCACAGTGCAACCCATAGGAGACACTCTGAAACAAAACATACGTGCATCACTGTTCATAAATCAGAATTATTTGCTGTACCATGCCAGGGCTGGTAACAATCATCCCTTTGCATTCCTCTGCGTATTTCTGCCATTCCAGTTCTTCCCACTGAAGCATGTTGGCAATCTCCTCCTCGGGCACCAGAGCTTTATTGCATCGTAACAAGTAGAGAAGAATCTGGTGCATTGACAGTACTTCTTTCCCTCCATCTTAAAAAGAAAATGAAAGGAGAAAAAAAAAAAATCACATTTCAGTTATTTGCTCCTAAAAGTACTAGCAAGAGAGAAAAACACACAGAACAAAAAAATATTCAGATGAGCAAAACAAAATGCAAAATGGCTAAGCAACTTGACAAATAAAAGGTAAATGTTTTATTGATGAATAGTGCACATGTATAAACACTTCTTTGCTAAACTGGAAGCAATAATGGTAGCAATAGCAAAAACAGCAGCTTCATCATACTGCAAAGCTGAAATTTCCAACTGAAAAACTTTAAAAGAAACAGACAGAACAACAAGCTACACTGTCCCCTTACACCTTCCTTTTCACACTTTCAAAACTCCTTTTATAAGAGCAATTAAAAAGCCTTTTAGGAATTTATGTGGCTTTTTTAAGGAACACTCAGCAATTTCACAGGACACTCCTGGGTGAGTGTAATGAGTTATCTTTGCACGACAAGCTCAGTGGCAGTGCTTACGCGCTACCCTTGCAGCAAGGAAGACTGAGGAGCCTCGCGCTCTCTTCTGTCCCTACATGGATGAAGGCAGGTGAAGACTGCTCAACACTTCTGGGGCCCCAGGAAACAGGCAGGAAACAGCAAGGCCTGTTCCCGAGAAGGAAGACAGCGGAACAAACACCCTACCAGCTCCGGGCAGCCGGCTACAGATGCAAAGACAAAGTCAGCAAAGAGGAACAGGCGAGGGTCTTCACAGACCACCTCTCCAAAGAGACAGACTATTCAAATTCAGTGTAACTAGCTCACACGAGACAGATATGCTACCCTGGAGCTTTAATTTTGTGATAAATCTCTCAAGACATTCCCCCTTAAATTATTAGGGGCTTTAGTAGATGTTGGAGGCAGCTTGTAAATTCAAGCCCACAGAAGCATAAACATTGCTTTCCCTTCCATAGGAAGCAGCAAAAATCTGGTCCTGCCACTGAGTACATTCTCCCTAACACTACACACAAAAAAAAGAACAGAGGAGAGAAAAAAGAAAGAAAATCCTTGGATAAAGCCTAAAAAATGATATTGGGGAAGAATACAGAGCACAGAGGGAGTGGTATTAGGCACACAGAAAAACCTCTTTGAGCTGCTGCAGCACAGCAGTGCTGCTTAAGATGATTTCCTCTATAACAAGCATGAAGGGATGCACCCTTCTCTAACTCGGCTTACAGCACAGAAAACACAAAGAAGAATGATATATAAGTTGGTTTAGCAACCACTTAGGATACTTAAGAGTCACTTTAACTATAAAGGGGAGTCTAAGGGAAAATATATTCCAAACAAGAATTGAGAGAGAAAATACTTCTGAAGATCTATAGAGGCAGAAAGAGAGCATCATACCGGTCACCTAAATAGCAAAACAGCTTTTAAAATTTGGAAAGTTTCTTAGAAATAAAGAGAGATTCAAGTATAGAACATGCTTGCTTACACTTTTGCCAACTACTAGTTTATATTGTTCAGCAAGAGACAGCTCGTGTCCCGAAACCAATAAAAAAGTATAAAGTGAATGGGTTGCCATGGACAGTTGTGCTAAACAGGACTTCAGGGACCTGACCTTCTTTGGGTCAAAACACACCACATTTGTCAAGTTAAACAGTCTTCTCCAGTCTCTTGCTCTCTAATATATTTGTTATAAAAATCCCGGGGAAAAAAAAAGAAAGGAAAGAAAAGACAACTATTTTGTGCTCTCTGTATCTCTGGCACTCAGCAAATCTAATGCAATTAGCTTAAAGCACAGATTGAGTCCAAAATCTGTGCTTGCAAGGAACTCACACAAATGCAGAGATCGTAAAGCTGGGCTTCTTTGCACTATGCGAGAAAAATAAGAGAAGTAGAGAGGATGTGAAATCAGCAATTTTTTCCATCTTTAAGAAGACACTTGATGAATGTGTGGGCATCTGTAGCGCTAATGCATCTTCTTTGAAGAAAGACACATAAATAATCTTCTGTAAACATACCTGACGGAAATAGATTTACACTCTCTGGAAATTAATAATCACTATGAACATGTCAGAAAATAAACTATCTACATTGCAAATTTGATTAAATAGGTATTTATAAAGTTATTTATATATATTAGTAGGTATTATAACGTTGCTAAAAGAGAATATAGAAAATAAAAGGAAAAAAGCCATTTTTGTTAAGAGCTAAAGGGCTGAGGACCTCAAAAAGGAAGCACACAGCAGCACACAGACAGAGACTTATCTCTCCCATCAATAAACAACCTAACAGCGCAGAAAGAGCTGACTTCCAACTAAAATAAAACAAAATGGAACATAAAACTCCCAAACTAACACGAAAACACCCTCAAGCCACACAATCCAGGCAGGTCAAACTTGTTTTCATTTTGTGATGAGGTCAAGTTAATCAGCCACATGTGGCTTGATGGCTTATTTTGTGAATTGCTTCAGCAGAATCAATGCGGTGTTTGCTAGCAAGCCTCAGAGCTCTGCTTCTGACTGAACAGTGTTGTGAACCCGGGCAGGCACAACAATTAGAAACGCAGCCATGAGGGCTCTCCACAGCAGCTAGCCAAACCTCATTTAGCTACGGCTATAATTAATACCCCAACGAAGTTTCGAAGCCCAGAGCAGGGTGCATCTCCAGGACGTGGTCCTTTGGATGAAGATTGCGCCGCGTCTCAGCTGCTCCCCCAGCCCAGCAGCTGATCCCGTCCTCCTGCCCACCCAGCCTTTGGAGCCAGCACCAGCAGCACCTCAGCAGGACACATCTGCAGAGCAGCCATGACATTTATACCAGCTGAAAGTCTGTCCTACTGTCTTAGGATGTGTTAAATGCCTGTATAAGCTGATCACTCAAAATGAGCATAAAGCTCTTCATATTGAAGCTTGTCCTTGGCTGCTAGACAAGAGTTGAATCACACTGAAATGGCTACTTTCTGTCTTAGACTGTGAGCTGCAGGGTCTAAACTTGCATCAAGATAAAGAAATCAACCATCAGAAAAACTGGTGCTCGGGGGTGCTGACTCTCAAAAACAAGTATCAAAAATCTTATATAATCACTTGGCACAGCACCTTGAAGAGTAGCGGGGGCAGGATACTCAGATGGTTTCATGTGACAGCAGAAAACGACTCTCCTCAAACCCCACAGCTCCGACAAAGCAAGAATGACCAGGAACACACAAGACTTGGTCTGCCTATGCATACCCTTAGCATAACACCAGGCAGTGTTTCAGGTATTCAGATGGAATCACCATGCTGCTGCACCAGCTGAATCGTTTCACCTGTAACAGGCATTTCCCTTTATTAGGTTGTCATTTCCATAAAACAATATAATAGAATCATTACCTGGAAGAAATCGCACAAATCGCGGCATGAAGTGAAATCTGGGGCAGCAAGCAGACTCGTTTTCAAGCGAAGGACCTTGAACACACACACACAAAAAAAAAAGAAGAAGAAAAAAAAGTAAGAATAAAAATAATAGGAACAGCAATGCATTTGCCAAATAAAGGAAAAAACAGAAACCCTGTCCAAAATAAAATCACTATGGAATGACAGAGGACTTAAGTTTCATACAGAAAAGTGGTAAAATGCAAAGCAGAAAGGAAGAGAATAACAGCTTCTAATGAAAGCTTCCCCATGGCCAATTTCAAAGGAAACTGCAATAGCCTTTATAAAGAAAAACAAGGCTCAAACACAGTTCTATTTAAAAGGGTGACACAAAAAAAGAAAACAAAAAGAAATCTGTTTATATGATCACAACACAATACAGACAAAAGCACCAACACTGATGTTTAGATTATTCTCTCCTAATTAATAGTTTTTTGTTTTAATAAAGGGCAGATGTAGCAATGAAACATCCCAGGGTTACTTTAGAGCTTTTCCTTTCTGATTTCATTATCCAAGGCTTTGTATGTTTAATAAAAAAAGGAAATAAATAGCATGTATCTGTTAAAAAATGCAAACAAAACCAGTGAAATGGTAAAAATAATACTAGAATACCCTTAACATGAAACCAAGGAATACTACACAAAACATATGACACTCACATGCTCACCTATTCAACAAGAAGTAGGAAGTCAAGACACTCAAAGACATCCACAGATTCTGAAATGAAATTCCTTTGAAATGTTCTTGATTTTCTCTTAGACCAGCTAAAGGCTCATCTTTTATATTCTCCTTTGCTACAGTTCTGTCAGGAAGATAAATTTTCACCTTCCCAAGGTGTCACATTCGGCTATAACTACAACTTACCCCTGTATAGTGCACAACTTTCATAACCTGCCTGTAGAGAAATACAACTGAATAGGGCAGGAAGCCTCTTGACAAAGGATACCAAAAAGGCAAAGTTACTGCATGCCTGCTTTGCTTCAGCTTTTACTGCTAAGGCCAGCCCCCAGGACTCTGGAGACAAGAGGAAGTCTGGAGAATGGAAGACTTCCCTTGGTGGAAGAAGATTGGGATAGAGGTTGTTTAGGCAAACCTGACATGTGCAGGGCCCTGATGGGATGCACCCATCATGGGATGGGATGCATGGAATGCACCCTAAGGGAGCTGGTGGACATCACTGCTAGGCCACTCTCCATCATGTTTTAAAGGTCATGGAGATTGCGAGAGGTGATGAGGACTGGAAGAAAGCCAGTGTCAGGCCAGTCTTCAGAAGGGGCAAGGAGGAGGACCCGGGCAACGACAGGCCTGTGCGCCTCACTCCATCCCTGGAAAGGTGATGGAGCAGCTCATCCTACAGGCCATCCCTAAGCACCTGAAGGACAAGAAGATATCAGGAGCAGCCACCATGGATTCACCAAGGGAAAAAGTCACTTTTAACCAATCTGATAGTCTACCAAGATGGAATGTCTGATTGGTTAAGTGAGGGGACAGCAGTAGATCTTGCCCTTCTTGACTTTAAGGAGGTGCTCAACACTGCCTCACTGTGATTCTTGGTTCAGGGAGAAGTTTAATTTATGTTTCAGGACACAATGACAAATTTGTGCATTTTTTCCATAATCCACACTAGGGAATTTTGCTAATTTCACCCTTTTCTGAAAGTGTCTTCAGACACTTCCTCTGTCCATCTGACTTAAAACAGCATTTGCCTTTGTTATTTTGAGTCAATTTAGGAAAAAAAAAGAAAGAAAAAAAAAAAAGAAAGAAAAAAAAAAAAAAAAGAGGTATTTACTAAAGCTGTGATTACCTACTTCTGTGTTTTTAAAGTAAAATACTTACCTTTAAGATTCCAGTCATAGAGCTCCAAAATATCTTTGAATAGATACGAAGAGAAGAGCTCAAGACCCCTCACACAAAAATTCTAGGAAAAAAAAATTAAGACAGATGTAATTACGCAGTACTGCAATACAAATAATGCCACTCAAAATTTGTTAAACATATCAAGAAAAAAAAAATCTTTCCATATCTGTCAGTCTTTAGACATTAGACTTTGGAAGCATCACTGATGTATCTGCAGTCATCCAATACTACACAGCGGTCACATAGGAAAGCATGGTCAATACATACTGAGGAAACTTAATTAAATGTCTAAATTCACTCCATGGGCCAAAATTATTGAGGATATGAAATAATTCACCGGCACCAAAACTCTTTCAACTGAGTAAACTAAGGAAGTGATATACTTCTAAGAAGGATCTTTCTCATAACTCTTGTTCCTAAAAGTTTATTCTAGTAACTTACAACCATTTGTGATATAAAAGTCATCTTTTCAGCAACAAAATGGTACATCACAGACTATGACCTTAGGAGTCATCACAGGAGAAAAATAAATAAATAAGATTTTAAAGAGGGCTTTTCATTGACGGGGAAAGCAGCTATTCCAAAGCATGCAGCTTTCAGTATTAAATGAAATCATTCCTTTAAAAAGTCTTCCTGAAGAAAAAAAAACTAGATATAAACTGTATGTATATAAAGCTGGCCATAAGTTCCAAACCCAACAAAGCAACAACAGAATCTCTTTCACACAAATGCTCTAGTAAGTTATTTTTGCAAGTAAAGTTTTACCCACAGCTAAAGGACCAGAACTCAAAAAAAGTCAGATTTCCTATTTTATTTTCCATTTATTATTTTAGAGAAAGATTTGGAGACTACACGGCATATGCAATAATAAGAAATGAACTGGATTCATCATATTAATAATTTTGGAGAATTTTAGGGCTCTTGCATACTTGCACATATTTAGATAAATTTGCTGCTGAGCATTAAAAAAGTAGAAAATTAGAAAAAAAATAAATATATGTGACTAAATTAAACACTGATCCTATCTTTGCAGTCAGTATACAGGGGTATTTACCCACACAGCTGTTCCACGCCAGCAAATTACTTCACAAACTGGCTTCACCAGAGACTGGTTTTGTAATAAAAAAAAGATTATGAACTGAATTTACTTTGTCTATATCCACAGGAAATTTGTTTTGGTGCCAGCTTTTATTAACTACTGGTAAGTGATCGTTAGAGCTTCACACTCTGTCAGCTCTGCCACTCATTCACGTGGTCCTTGCAAATCAGCACCGTGGCATGCCTCTTTTTTTTTTTTTCTTTTTAATACATATATCTGTAAAGGAAGGATAATGCCTAACTTAACTGACAAGTAGAACAGCTGACACACATGGTGTGCAGCTTCCACTGGAAAGCAGCTACAGGTATAAGCCGTTCTTTATATTGGATGTTAACACAGGATATCTTATATAGATGGATTTGTGCTAGTACCCGTGAGTGCAAATCCCTTTCAGGCACTCATTCAGGACACAGCCCGTCTCTTATGGACTTTCCGGGAGGATTCTGTAGAGCTTAATGCATTAAGCACACCGACAGCTCTGACTTTTGACTAATTACCCTTCTTACCTCAGGCATCATCTCCTCAATGAAATGAATGGTGTAGTCAATGTTAAATCTGATTACTTTACATAAAGGAATCTGGAAGGAAAAAAAGAAAAAAAAAAAAAAAGAGAGAGATTCAGCATGGAAAGGAATGCAGCATCATCTGCATAGTTAATGCCACGTAGCATGCACAGGTGTTACTCTCTGATCAAGAGGGCACTTAATAAAGAGTCGCACAAGGAGATCACACCGAAAACAGAACTGCAGCAAGCGCAAGGGGAGCCTCTTCGCCACCGCCCCTGGCTGGAGGGACAGCAAAGGATGATCAAATAATGCCACCTACTGGAGACAAAGTTCTCGTTAGAAAAGGCACAGTTCAGCGAGGCAGTTTCTTCTCTCACTTTGGGAACGTTTAGCTGCAGGCAAGTTTATTTTCAATGATACAACACGCCAGATTGAAACAGTGACCTGAAGGGAAAGTGTTTTTGGCAGGCTACCGCTCGTATACTGATTACATACTGCCCTTAAATGCAGCTTTAAGTGATGAAAACAGAAGGCAGCAACTCTGAGAAGAGATTTAGAGGTTTACACAAATGTTATCTAACAAATACTCTTAAAAATTTGCTCTGCTAACTGGTAAGACAAACACTAAATTAATGCTACTCATGTTTGGAAAGTCCATGGACTTTAAAGAAACTTTTTTTATTGATGAGATTTTTTTTTTAGGCAACAAAGTTGAATTCTAAAACACTATAGATTCTTGCAACTTTTAGGAAGTTCTACCACTCACGGCTCTTGCCAACGTAACAGACAATCTCAAAACATATCAATGACCTACGAAACTGAAGCAACTCAAGTCTTATTTTGCATTAGTGTACACGCACAAGTGGAGATGCACTGAAATCCACAGACTCAGCAGAGACACAGCATTTTCTTCTCACTTTCTTGCAGCCCACTGCTGAACAAACCCCTGGCTATTTTCTGCCTATGTGCCGCTGCTGACGACACGATTCCATCAGCAACTGCTGCTGTCCCTACTCTCCAGCTGCTACTCACAACCCCCTAACATCAAAGTAACTAGAGGTTAAGGAGCTAAAGTAAAAAACATAAAGCAATACAAGGACAAACTGCTCTTCCTGGAATTTGATAAAAGCCTTTCTAATATTAAATGTTGCCAAAACAAAAAAGTCTTGACAAGAAGACACCTTTAAGAACTTGAGGAAAGGAAAAGCTTACCTATTTATAAAAGCATCACTGATATATACATATATATATATATCTATGTTGCATATACACACAAACACACACATATATATGAGAATATCTAACTCTATATAAATAAAAAGGAGTACTTTTTTATTTTCTAAGATGCAAGTTCAATTAAGACAGGTTATTCTGTTTCAGGAATTTGATTGTCTAAAATCTTTCCCTTTATTATAAGCAGAAGATGAATACTTCAGAGAAGTGACCACATTCTGATCTCTTAACTGAATTATTTCTACAGACAGAACCGAAGATATATATGCAGTGCAAATACATATGGAACATTTGGTCAGTACCATAAGATTGCTTTGGTAGCTACATTATGAAAATTACATTTTCTCTTGCGATTACACAAAATAATTCATCCAATATGTGACAAGGTCAATTATTACTGAAAAATTATAACACTGTGACAGATACCTCCAACGGTGTGCAAGCCAAGACTTCAAATTGTACAAACATGTTCCACTCAAAGATGTTAGTGTTAAGATCTCTGTTTTTGCTACCCTTAAGCACCTTGCTTGTATCCAGTATGTTCTACAACATCTGTCAAACAATAGTTTTCATGTTGCCAAAAATCTTCCAAGGACAGTAAGACACTCTTTTCAAAGGACTTGATGCCTAGAACCCTGTTAGTAATGGAAACTGATGATAGGGTATTGCTTTGTCTTCAAAGATGTGCGGGACAATGACCATTTGCTACTGAAAACCTTCCCCTACTTGAGATGAGAAATTACAACAACGTCCTGATAAGATTGGTAGCTGCAACACATGAGCATTGCAGTAAGAGTGAGCTGAATGTCTTCAGCAACTCCTATCAGACCAGAGAGATCTCTGTTCTTTTTTGAAGAGCAAAATATTTCCACAACACTCTACTTTCCTATCTTATAGCAGACATAAAACAATAAGGACAAGATAGTCTCTATATCTCTTTAATAGGAGAAAAAACCCATGACTTCTCCTTTTCACTTTTTGCAAAGTGAAAATGTAATGCCTCAGGCTAAACATGCCTTGAACAGGCTCGAGGCTGAGTTAACGCCACAGGGCAGCAGTGTTTTGCATTGCAAACCTATCGGCTGAACTCACCTCTCTCCTTGACTTTGCATATATATTATATAAGCAAAGTGGGAGGAAAAAAATAGTACTTTTTTTCTCAGCATCTATCCGTTCCAGAATTATTAGGTCCCAATCCTGCACTCACAGCCACTCTTGGCACTGGTGATGTTCTTAACAGTGGGTATAAAAACAAGGACACGGACAGTGCCCTAAAGCATTTGAAGAAAAAAATTCTCAAAATACTAAGATGATCTTCAAATGCAGTTTCTCATTTTTTCATTTAAATACTACAAATACCGTCTGCTTTTCCAGTGTAGAGTGTATCAAACTTGCCCGTCTTTCTGTTAGATTTGCTTTGGAAGCAACCAAGTAATTCACTTTAAATACCTACATATAATAATATGTGTAATTATAATGATATATCACTATATGAATTATAATATATATAACATAAATTGTAACATGCCTATTTCCTGAATAAGATGAGCGTATGTTTGAAAGCAGTGGATATGTCTAGACAGCTTTTTGGAAAAGAAAAATCCCCACAAAGCTGGAACTCTGAGCAAGTCCAGTCTCCATATGCTACTGAATAAGAAACTTTTTTCACTTTCTTAAAAACTTTTCCAAATTAACAAACTTGCTCATCTAATTTAAATCCAATTAACAGTTTTAACAAGTTATTCCATGGATTATTTCACTTCCAAACTGTGAAACATGTAAGAACACTACTTTGATGCACATCACAGCCTCAATCACAGTTTGCAGGCAACACTTACCCCAATTAGTCATGACAAAACCTGAGACTCATTAGCACAAATGTCTTTTCTCTGCTACCCATGCTGGAATGATGCTTGTAACACACACGTATTACTGCTGTACAAAAGTGCTTGTTCAGAACAGAATCCCATGTACAAAGCAATGAAGATGCTTACGTTTGTTAACGGGGCATGTGCAAACATGGAGAACCCTTCAAAGATATATTCGTGGTCATCATACTCGATAACAGTAGGCCTGTCTGTCTGAAAAGGCAAATAAAAACACCACAGAGTTAGCAAGACATTGTACTACTCTCACCACTGAAAATAAAGTTGGAGTCCTCGTTCAAGTTACTTACTAAGAAGTTTGTGGGAGGGGACACTGTAATTCGGTAGTGGTACAGTCTTCCAGCATTGTTGGTCATGGGGCGACATGGCTTAATGGGCTTGAAGAAAGAGATAAGCAGAATTATGTGGAAAGTCAAGGCAAATTTAGATAAAAAGACAGAATAAAGCCTTGCTAATAGCCATGAAATATGCACTAGGAAAAATTAAATAAAACAGGTAGTCATAATGAACTATACTGGGAAGGAGGGAGAGTGGTCTACATTTTCACTTTCAGGAGTATTTTTAAGGCTCTTCAAGGGCAAAAACAAAAAACAAAAGGGGGGGAGAAAGAAAAAAAGACATAACTATAGTTTCTTTTTTTTTTTCCCCCTCCATTTGACTTTCCACAATTTGTACACACAGTAGTTGGTCACTTGTATACCAGACTGGTTTCCTTTCCTTTTATCTGAGCTTATTCTAGAGAATTCATCTAAAACAAGTGACGTATGAAAATTCAACTCGGATCTTGCATCAGAAGATCTCAAAGCACAAGTCTCAGAGCACTGTGTCTGCAAAACCTTCCCTGCAAATAGGACAATTACTCTCACCATTCAGCCCCAAATTAGGTTTCTTGTTTTTGTAACAAGACAGTTGGGAACCAGCTAGTTTAAAGTTAGGCAGGTTTGTCTACAGGATGTTGCAAAAACTAGTAAATCCTAGAAGATTTTCAGATGCTTCATATTCCCAGCTGAATTTGCTTCAGGGAGCAGCTGTCTTCACGCAGCAGATTTGATGTATCACAGTTTTCTCCTGCTAAAAAATCTCTCCCTCCCTTTCTTCAAGAAAACTGCTAGAAACAACGTGGGGAGGAACTGAGCCAAGACTGGAGTGATTTACTGTAAACTTCAAAGCGGAGCAGTTCTTCTAAAATGGAACAATTAATTTTTTTTTTTTTAATAGAAACACACATTCTTAATTGCAAGGAAATAACACATTTGTGTGTGTGTGTGTGCGCGTGTGTGTGTGTTTATATGTATGTAAAAAGATATACTGAAAAAATGAAGTCTTCTTGAAAAAACAGTGTTAAACTGTAAAACCTACATATTAGTATTTTTAATGTTTCCAAAATATATCTTTTTTTAAGGAATGAAAACCTTGAGATGGTCCAAGCACTGTCTTTAACTTCAGAAAGAAAACTGATCCCAGTGCATGCTCTGTACAAATGAGTATTTCTAATGAAAACAACCAAGGACTGTTTCTACAGCATTCTTCAAAGGGAAGGCACTATCATTACAAGAAAGTGTTGGAGGAGGCTGACGGAGTCATTTTTCCTGATCACGTACTTGTAAAGAACTTAATAAATCGTTTGGCAGTTTGAGGTGCAGAAAGGCTCCAGTGCTGAGAAAACACCACCTCCTGACAAGCTTGCTGCTGCTGCCAGCAGCAGAATACTAATTTGTGCACTTTTCCTTTCTCCTTTTCAAGTACTCCCTTCCCAAAGAGGGCCCTCATAACACACACAACCCCACTTGAACATGACAGAACCTTGACCACATGTTCTTTTTTAACAACATAATTGTGTTTCAAAAACTTTAGAAATAAATAAACAAAATTCAGGCAAAAGTTTCCTCTTGTTTCCAAGTGGATTCTGCTACAGGTACTGCATTTTAGATATGAAGTTGCACAATGGATTTAACATGGCATGCTAGTTTTTACTAAATCTACAAATGAGCAAAAAAAGAAAAAAGAGCAACCCAAGTACGAGACTACCATGGCATGTTTGCATTCATAAACACATTCTCAGGATTAGTTACCTCTTCTCCAGGATAAATGCCATGTCTTATTCCCGTTCGTCGGGCTTTTGCGCTGCACTTACACAGTGGTCCATCATTCATCTGTCAAACACAAAACAGGATTCTGCTTTTATTGAAAAATGGTAAGTGATCATGTCTGGAAAAGTATGTTGGTTTAAATGCCAAAGTGCTGATGCTTCTAAAAGCCTGTCATGCTTAGATTAAGTGGATGTTCTCGAGCCAATAAAGCTGAAAACTGTATACACCAATGAAAGAAAACTGCACAACGGCATTAGAATTTAATCACTGTTTCAGAAGTACAAGATGGGAAAATGATGTCAGCAGAATTACATTACTCCACCACCATATATATCTTTTTCATTTCTTATACGTGTAAACAGTATGCTCTCTGCCTACAAAATACAGGCCCTAAGAATACATATACAAATATTTACATGTCAAAAATTCCACACTCAAGTAACTCTGCTTAGCCCACTGACAGAAACCCTGTTCCTAAATTGTCCGCCATGTGATCAGGGTGCCACCCAACGGAGGCAAAGCAGAGCATTTGAAGATTCTACTTGGTACTTTAGAGAGGTAATAAAAACACTTAAAATTCCCTGTGTATAGATCCCTTACAAATAATAAAAAGGCACAGTGCAATGCAGCACAAAAACTTGCAGAACTTTCCATGCCACCATAAGCAGGCAGCAAACCTCAGCAGCATTCTGCAGGTGAGCTAAGCAACATCACCAGCCAGCAGAGATGATGTGAAGGAAGGAAAAAACACCAAGCTGGCATTAACGTAGGGACAGGGACTCCAGACCGGCACAGTGCACATATGGAACATGAGAAGGAGAACTCTGCTCTGCTCTTTTGGGAACTTAATCACACAATCCTAGTAGCAGAATAACACAATGTCTTTTGTTTACACCATTTTTAACACATTGAGGAAAGCACAGCCTAATAAAATTGTTTGTCTCAAATGAACCTCAGTGGCTTCCAAAGTGACAAAAGAGAACTGCAGTCGATATCCAATTTGTCCAGCACTCCCTAAAACAAGGGCCAAATGGGGTATCAAAATAACCACTTACTTTTGAAAATATTCTCAGAATTGTTTGGCTCTAACACTGTTTCTATCACACTACATGCACAGAGACTCAGAGACATGTAGCACCTGTAAAGCCCAGGATACAAGCCGCAAGTCAAGATACGTATCTGTCTTGTCCCTAATGGCACAACCCACAGAAAAAAACATAGAGGTGCAAACATGAAGAGACAGTAAAGAAGGCTAAAATTTCATTGTTTTATGTAAACTACAGCAATGGCTTCTAGCCATCTCTGACTAAATGGCAACAAAAACAACCCAGTATCATTTGTCAGCAAAATGATACTTTCTGTAGTGGCATTACTTTTAACATTTTGTTTTCTTCTACCTTTAAACAGTATGGAGATTATCCAAAGGGATACAGTACACAGAGTGAAGTGTCAGAAAGAGCCATCCTGACAGTGTGACTACAGGCTAGATGGTGCATCTGCACGTGCCAGGATGCATGGCACTCATTCCTGCCTGTTTTACAGAGTGACTGCTTAGGGAAAAACAGTTACTCTATTCACGAGTACCCAAATAAATACTAAACACCACAGCAGGACAAGCGACCATTTTCACACATATTCTACTCCAAAATAGCACAGCGCCAACAAGCTCACTAAGATTTGATTTCAAACCCTTTCAGAAATGCAAAGATGACCAAACTGCAGGAACGTTTGTAGGAAAGAATCGTTTCCAGTAAGAAACTTGGAAACCACACATTCCATAACTATTCATCCCACAGTTGTTCCGCTTATTTTTATTTAGCCAATATCCTTGGCTAGGACATTACTTTGAAATGTGCTCAAGAGCAACACACATTCATTCAATAAATAGCTAAAGAGTTTTCTATTTTTCCCTATAGAAATAAAAGCAAGTAATTATGCCAACTCAAATTATTATTTTTTAACTATAAATATAAATGTGTAGGTAACAGAAGATTCATCAGACCTCTGAATTACCACGTTGGCCCTCTGTATCACAGTACCTCTTGCCATTATTACTTTATTTGCTGCATTCTAAACTCATGTATCACACAGAATGCCAGAAAAAACAAATTTAGTGAGGTGCCACTTGACAAAGAGTTAGAACGGATGATAAAATATTTAAGTAAGAAAGATGAAGATGGCAAATTTGCAAGCAAAAATTAGTCTTCTATGCAAAGTATACATTCAAAACAAATTTAATGAGCTCACCAATTACGTTTAATGAGAACTATAATCCCGATGCAATTACAAAAGAACCATTAGACTTGAAGTTAGGAGCATTGAGAGCATATTTAAAGCATTATTTATCATTATGAAGTGAGAGCTTTTATGTAAATAATCTGTAAAGAAGATATATATCCTGCCTTTCTCCATCCGATAATTCATCTGTGTACCTTTATCTCAGGGCTAAAAGAACTGCCTTAGTAGTGCCCTGCTGGCAGTTCAGGTTTTATTAACACTGCCAAACACAACTCCAGTTGCACATTCCCCAAGAGTTGTAAGGGGTCACACGCTTGAAATCAAAAGTGAAGAACAAGACAAGACAGAAAAGTGAGAAAATGCATATAGAAGCGGATGACAGGAATGTTGATTTTTGGTCTCAGGGAAGGAATCCCACTTCCAGGGATACAGCACTTCTGCCTCTCACCGTACCTGCCCCGGATCATTGTACCACAGCTCTTCGTGAAGACGATCGGGATGTGCTTTTTTACGCTTAATTTCAGCGATGACATCAAAAACTTCAGAATCTGAACTGCTGGAGCAGCTGCTGTCGTCATCGGAGTCGCAGTCGGAGTCACTGGAGCTCTCTGGATCACACAGGGAAAAGAAAGGCAGATGAAAAACACCTTCGCGTTTTCTCCTCCCAAGTAGCAATGAATTCTTTAATATTACATTAAAAACTGTGCGTGCCACGTTTTGCTAGGTTGTGCATGACGCTTGCACTAATGAAAAAGGAGCATTTCAATTTTTTATTTTAAAATGATGGCAAATGGTATGGATATTAAGTGCCTACATCAACTGCATCCGTTTGCATGCCTATTGTTGGGGTGTCCAAAGCACCACTGATCAGCCCTAGAGTTCAATTACAGCCCCTTGACATTAAAACACTTCATGGAAGAAGATTATATAGCTGCAACCAATATAAAAAGACAAAAACAAATAAAAAGCCCTACACACTTAAACGAGCATGTTCTGCGTAAGAGTTTCTTGACATAATACAACTGACTGGAAAATACACTGTGAAACACTGCAATGTTGGGAGCATAAGAACAACTAAAAGGTCTCAAAAAAATGAAAATCGGCTTTCACCAACTTCCAAGTGGATGAATTGCTATCAAAAAGTATGCTTGATATTCAAACCAGTATTTCCTCAATAACCATTGCAGTCAGCAGATTTATTCCACTGCAAAAAGTTCCGCATAGGAACAAGGATAACACAGATAAGCTGTGTTTCGAAAACTGAAACTCCTCCATTATAAGAAGCAGAGTTGCTCAATCAAAATACAATCCAGAAGGAAAAAAGAGCTCAAACTCATATGACAGGTTGTTATGACATTATCACCACTACTGTTTATTCTCCTTAAAATAAAAACTAAGACCAAGAGCTCTCCTGTGCCCTGTACTTGGGCCTGTTTGATCATGCCAGGATTGGACTCAAGGAGATATTATGGCATGGAAGAAACTTCAGCAGAAGACCTTACTTCAACCTTTCTGGGTAAAGAGCCTAAATCCACTTCAGGATTTAGGCAATGACAAAACTCTCACATAATTGCAACAGAAAGAAAGGATTTGAAAAACACATATTGGCTTACCAGCATCATCCAACACACACAAGCACAGAAAAACAGGTCAACTACAGATTACTGTATTTCAAAGTTTTGCCATGACCTCTGCCTACCTAAGTCTTCATCCAGCTTGGTCTTTGGCGGCTCCCATGGTGGTCTGGCGGCTTTGGCCTTTGCCTGCCGCCTTCCTAACTCCTCCTCAAACTTCTCATACAGGTCTCGGAGCTTGCTTGTTCCAACCACAGTAGAGTCCCCCTGTAAATCAAAATCAGAAGCAAAAAACAATGTTGAAATATCTGCTCCCCTGAACACAGTGAGTTTCATCATTTCACAGAAAAAGGCAAGAAAAAAGCAGATGGATCTCAGTGCTATGGTGCAATAAAACATGGAAGCAGTTGATAAGGCTCTAGCATACAGTTGCATTCCTCTACCAGATCAACATTCAGAAAAATGACTTAACCTGCTAGTACATTAACATCAAACCCATGACCTAGCCAACCAGAACTATGGCTAAGCATATTTTGGATTACTCAGAGATGACTTTTAAAAGCTCATATTAAGAAGAAACTGTGACTTTTTGTGTAAAAATACAGCAACTCAAAATAATCTTATTGCCCACTGAAAATACACAAACTTCAGCTCATCTTGTCACCTGCTTTGAAACAAAACAGAACCAAAGCCCCACTGTTTCCCAACAAGCGTTATTGTCAATACAAAGAATCCTGACTTCCTGCTTCTGTAGGAAACTTCTCTGGGATGACTGCAGAGAGTGTTTGAGATGTATTTGAGCAAATAAAAGTGTAATGGAAAAATAAAATAGATTCTCTCCTGAAGACAAAAAAAAAAAATCCTTCTTCCGTGTGCCACTAATCTAAATGAAATAAATACATATATAAAGAAATTGATGAAAAGGGAGAAGAACCCTGCCAAATAATACCCTTACACCATCAAATGAGATGGCTGGGAGAAGGATTAACACTGAATAACACAAAAGAGGATCCTGATGAGGTGTTCATATTAATCAAGGAATCGAATAACCAATAAAGGAAGAAGAACAGTATTTCAGAGCTTGCTCTCTCAAACGTACCACTTGATCCATAGGGTCGTTAGAATAATAGCTCTCAGAGTGGGTACAGCGAACCCAGACTGGCTTAAGTAACTCTTCGTCTTCCTCTTCATTTTTTTCCGATGCATTCTCCTCTGACTCCTTGTCTTTGATGGTGGTATAGCTCTTCTCTTTGCTGGCGCTCTGGCTCTCAGACCATCTTTCTCTCTCCTCTTCCCACCTGGGTCTCTTCCTCTCCCTACTCGGGGAACGGCTGCAGGGGAAGAAAGCAAAGACACACACACAATTCTCTTTGGTATTCCAATAGCTATAGCTTTATAATGAGAAATAAATAATTTCCTGCAGATGAGCACATTGTTCTACCACATAAATTACTTCACAATCCAATTGCATCTTCCCGTTTTTAACTTGCCACTACAAAAAAAAAAAAAAAAAAAAAAAAAAAAACTTTGTACTCAGGTCTGTCACAAGAAACAGGAGCCAAAATTGAAAATTGCAAATTTCTATTTGAAACTATATTTGAGATTTTAGATTAAAATTCTTATTTGTATTCTAGATTATTTTTTTTTCCCCAGGTTTGTTTCAAAGTTGAAGCACATCAACTCAAAGTGTACAAGATAAAAGACAGGGTTTTACTGAAAGGATTTTACACTAGCTGCATCATCGCTTGGGTTGATCTAACCCTTGCACTCCTGTGAGCAAGGCAACATGGGATATTTCTCATTTATTGCAATGCTAACAATTTGGGGAGTTGAATATAGGAAAAAAAATAAAAAGAAAAAAAAAAAAGCTTCTTTTATTCCTCTCTATATAAATCAGGTTGCACTGAATACAGCTCTCCGGGACTTGGAACTAAAGCAGTAAGACAAGAAGAGCCCCTAAAAGATACTGTAAACATAGCAAAACTTTAAATAATCCTGTCACTTTATAGACTGGAAGCAGATGTAAAAATCTTCACGACAACACAGGGAATTCCTCTTGCCAAGAAAAAAAAAGAAAAACATCTTGTTTCTAGCTATACAAGGCCTTGTTAACAGGGACTTCACCTGTATAAGAAGATGGCTTTATACCTAAAACTTTTTACTGAGTTTCAGACCAGTCACATGTGCACATGCACCAAACACATACACACAAAGGTGTCCATGCACAAAGCCTCTCACACATGTGAGAGGCCAAATGAACCAGCTCACCTTCCTGCTCTCTTGTAATCCTTTTTGTAGGACCTGTCTGGGGACGGTGATCGCCTGCTGTCCCGGTGCCTGTGCCTCTCCCGCTCCCTGAAAGAGTTTAAAACATAGGTTAAGTGAGAAATGTGGCGTTTCTTACAATTCACACCTGAAAGAAGGACAAAAGCGGGATGAGATCATTTCCCAGGATTGTCCAACATGACACACGTGCCACCTGCTAAAGAAACCCAGAAATTCTTAATTCTCCAAGAAATATGGAACAATCACTTTCAGCATTGTTTTGGTTATAATGCCATCTCTCCCAACAAGTAAAATAGGGTTTTAGGAAAATCCTCCTTTGGAAATGAAAAGCATAGGAGCAAAGAAAACAAAATAGAGGGATAAAACGACCACATGTGATATTTTTGGAATGCAGCTGAGCTGTCTTAAGTTCTGCAATTTATACATAAGTATCTATATAAAATTTAAATCTCTTAATTCTTTCTTAATTTTTCTTAATTATTAAAATTTCTTAATTTTTTAAATTTCTTTAAAAATAAATTTCTACATAAGCATCTATATAAAAAATGGTTTAATTTCCAGGGACACTATATCCAAATTCATGTTTCTCATGTGAAATGGCAAAGCTCAGAGCTTTCAAAATAGATCATGTGATCTAGATGCAATAATAAGTATTTCAATACTCAACTTTCAGGAAACTCCTTTTGAAAATCCTGATCTAAATCATTAGTGACAAAGAGAGGCACTAAGACAGCAAATCTAGAGATTTGCAAGAAACGTGGCAACGGTTTGCTCTATAACACCATACAGCAAACTCGATTTGTGAGCTGCTTTCATCTGTGAAGTAGAGCGACCAAAACTTCATGAGACACTCCAGAATAGGCGGCTAACTCTCATCCTCCTCATCCTCCCAAGTCGTAAGATGACAACACAGCTGGCAGGTTCTCTGTTCCTTTGGGCTTCTGCAGGCTGATTTTCACCCCAGACCTCTCTGGAGCTCACAGCCTGGCTCGATGAAGTCCTCATCCCCAGCAGAACCACACAGGCAGGTCTACACATCCACTGGGAGGGAGGTTTCACTTGTAGGAGTCTCCCATGAAAACAGGGATGAGCAGGATAAAGAATACCGTGCAATGGTCTTTTCACTGGAAAGCTCACTGCCAGTTCTCAGGAATTACATTTGTGCAGCTGTCAGATCGTAGAACCCCAATGAGCCCTGGCTATCTGCACCCACAGGTCTTAATGAAAGCAGGACTGTGCTCAAGGAAAAAGCAGTATCTTTAAGGCTGGTGCCCAAATTCTGAACTTGGAAATACTGGGACTCGCCCATTTGCAAACCTGAGACTTTGAACACAGATCTTTGCACAGATTTGTGCTAACTCTGCTTTCATGACACAAACGCTCAAGTTACTGTGGGAAGCCCCACAGGCAGCAGAGTGCTGTAAGGCATGGGGTGTTCAAAGGGGAGCCTCCCTGTGTCCAGCTCTGTCTGCGGAAAAGGGGAGCAAGTTCACGGGTACAAATCTGCATCTGGAGGACAGCAAAAGCCTCTGGCACTGGCTACATCCCAAGCTGAACAACACGGGTGAGGGATGGACACCTGATTCAAAGGAATACCACAGACAAATGACCACGTCTCTTGGCCTGCAGGCAGGGCACAGGTGAAGTTACCTGCTGCGCTCGTAACTCCTGTGGTGAGGCGACATCCTTCCTCGATCGTAATCCGCCCGGTGCCGGCTGCTCTCCAGCCTCCTGCGATCCGGGCTGCGGCCCCGGTCGCGGCGCTCGCCGTGGCTGTTGGAGCGGTGCCTGTCGCCGTGCACGTGCCCGTGCTCACGGTGCCGGTGCTCCTCGTAGTGCTTGCTCCGCTCCGGCGACCGCCGCTCGCTTGGCGGCTTCTCTCCCTGGTACTGGCCCGCGTGCCGAAAATGGCCAGTGCCGCCGCCGCTGGCAGCGCTGCTCTGGAACGAGCCGGAATTGTGCGGGTAGCTACCGAAGCCGGGCGGCGGGAACGACTGCTGGGAGTAGCCCGCGGAGTACACGGGCTGGTAGTTGACCTGCTGCGGCACGACGGGCGGCGGCGGAGCGTGCGGAACGGCGGGCGGCGGCATCATGTAGGGAAAGGCGCTCTGCCCCGCAGCGGCTCCCGGCACGGCGGTGCCGCCGGCGGCGCTCGGCACGGGCGGCGGAGCGGGCGGGAAGCAGGGGGGCACCGGGAAGCTCTGCCGCATGGCGTGGCTCGGGAAGGGCGGCCGCGCGGGGCACTGGCTCACGGGGGCGGCGGGCGGCGGGTAGGGCACGAAGTCGGCGCGGGGCGGCAGGTAGGCGGCGGGCGGCGGGCTCGCGTAGGCCGGCGGCGGCGGCGCCGTCGGAGGCGGCTGCTCGTACGGGTACTGCCCCGGCGGCGGCGGCGGCGGGAGCTGCCGCAGGCTCTGCGGCCGGTAGGGCTGCGGCGACGGCGACGTCCGCGCGCCCGGCGGCGGGCCCTGGCCCCGCGGGCATCCTCCGCGGCCCGAATGGAAGGACATGGCGCACCTGGGCGGACGGGAAACAGGGGGACGTACAGCAACGTTAAGCTCCTGCTGGGGGGCTGGTTGCGGGAATCACCCGCAGCTATTCCCAAGCTTTGGAATTATCGTTTATCCTGCGCCTCCCGCGCTCCCTCCCGGGGCCCGGCTGGACCCGCCGCTCCCACCCAGCGCCGCGTTCCCGGGCAGACCCATGAGCTTCCCCGCAGCCCAACGGATCCGCCTCCAAACGGCGGCGGGACGCGCCCCGCCCCGCCCCGCGCCGCCCGACGGGCCCCGCCGCCCTCGCCCCGCTCACGCGCGCGGCTCGGCCCCCGCTGAGCCTCGGGCCGAACCGGGCGGACGCTGTGCGGTTCTTTAAGCCGGGCGTCGCGCCTAACGCGCCATCGCCCACCTGCTGCCCGCGGCGCCGCTCAGGGCGCTGCCCGCGGCTGCATCCTCGCCGGCGGGGCGGGGCGGGCCTGCGGCGAAGGAAACGGGAGGGGAAGAAACGGCGGGAACGGAGAGAAACGGGAGGGGACGGGGCGAAACGGGAGGGGGGAGGGGCACCCGCTCCGGCAGCGCGCGGCTCACCCACCGCCCCGCCGGAAGCGGAAGCCAGGGGGCGGGGCGCGGCGGGCGGAAGCGGAGGCCGCCGCCGTTGCCGGCCGGTTAGAGGCGGTCGGGCGGTCGGCGCCATTATGAGCGGCGGCGGCGGCGGCAGCGGGCTGCGCAGCTACGCGGCGCTGCCCGTGTGCGTGGTCGAGGATCACCAGGACGTGAGTGAGGGAGGGAGGCCGGCCCTGGGTGGCGGGAGAGGCGGCGGGGCCGTCCCCGGGCGCGGCGCGTGCCTGTGGGCGGGAGAATGGTCCCCGTCGTGCCCCTGTGCCGCCCCCCAGCACGGGGGAGGTTGGTCTTGAGCCGCTCGTGCAGGGGTCTCAGGTTGTTGTTTGCGGGGCAGGCTCAGGCCTTGGTCTGGACTAAGCAAATTCTTCGTGCGAAGGCACAAGCCTCTCTAGATTTCATGGAGTCTTTTTAGAGTATGAAGAGCTGGTGAAGGAAAAAGCAAAGGCGCTAGTGTTAACTTTGTTGGTGTCTGGTCTCGGATAATCACTCTTATTAATTCTATTACTGATTAATTCCATTTTACTTTTCATGCTTCTAAGTTACACTATCAAAGACTTTTGTTGCCAAAATATATGCAGTGCTTTTAGTGTATGTATGTACCTACATTGCGAATCTGTTAACCCAAAGCGTGAGAACTTCCCAGAGACTGCGTGTAGCCCAGAGGAAATACTGACACTGAGGTTTCTGCGGGGGTGGATGAACCAGTCTTTGAGCAATAATAACAGCTGTTGGGCAGGGAATTTTGTTCTTAATCTGTATAGCGGTAGAACTTATCTTGTAAGAGACTCCAGGCTCTTGCCTTCTTCTTCATCGCACATTTGTAATAATGCTTGTATGAGATTAGGCTAATTAAAACTGTAAACACTACAGGCTGTTCAGGTAGGCTGTTTGCCCCCCCCCCCCCCCTTTTTTTTTTAATCTGAAGAACTAGAAGTCATAGTTGAGAGAGTCCTTGTTATTTTTAACTCTATGTTATCAATTATTATGGTAGTATTCATATAATTGTGTAAATAGTGAGTAAGATGGAAATTTGTAACCCATCTGCTGAAATACAATCCAAATTTCAACTATATGTCACTCAGGTTTTATGATTATATACATTCACTGTTCAGGACTTGGGATCTTAATCAGTTTTGCACTTAAAAAGTAGCTCAAATTGCATTTAAATAAAAATGTGTATCATATATTGCCCAATATCTTCATAGCCTTTGTATTACCTGTATAGCAAAGATCTGTGTCACTGCTGGATGTGTTCTGGCAGCTAAGGCAGCTACTGACCTGTGAGTGTGGGAGAAGCTCCTTCTCCTGCAGCTCAATTTAAGAAGGATCATGATTCAGCCTTTGGTTGTCCCCCTTGACGACTTGCCATTATTGTCTGTCAGTGCTTGTCCCTCTATAAACTGGAACATGGATCCATCTCCTGTTTTTTTCCACCTTTTAGGTGGACAGCTGGGGAGGGTAGTCTACTTGCCACTACTAAATCTTGCAGGGATTGATTTTTTTTTTTTTTTTTCTTTTTTAAGAGAAGAAAGATAAGTTAAATGAGGGGGGGGGGAAGGGGGGAGGGGAAGCATTGTTTTAGATGATTAGTGAGAAGAGCCACTACAAACAAAACTCCCTAGGGAGAAGGGAGAGTAAAGCTATGATTCTTCATCAGCTTATGTGTGCAACCCAAGGATTCATAGAGACTGGTGGGCTGGTTTGCTCTTAGGATTTGATCCCCAAGAACTGCCCTGCTTTTGGAGTTGCATTCTTGATGTTATTTTCAGTGTCCACCTCCCTCTTCCAATAAATAATCTAGATTCCAAAGAAGCAAAGAGGAGTAGGGCAGGTATTTTTTCTGTTAACATCACTGCATTTTTCAGCTAACTAGTTTGAATTGAAATACTTCTGTTTATGTTGTTTTAGGTTCTGCCTTTCATCTATCGTGCAATTGGTTCAAAGCATCTTCCTGCCAGCAACATCAGCTTTGTCCATCTAGATTCCCATCCAGACCTCCTTATTCCTGTCAATATGCCAGCAGACACTGTATTTGACAAAGAGGCTCTTTTTAGGTAAGTTCCTGTGTAATGCATCAGAATACATAAAGTTCACTTATTTGCTATCTTTTATTTAAAGTCAATATTTGTTTAACGTTTTGTATAGTGGGCATGAACACAAGAGGCTTTGAGAACCCCAGGGAGGCAGAGGGTTTACTGTTCACCCTCTTTACTGTGAGGGTGACAGAGCAGTGGAACAGGCTGCCCAGGGAGGTTGTGGAGTCTCCTCCTCTGGAGGTCTTCAAAACCCGCCTGGATGCCACCCCATGTGCCAGATGCTCTAGGTGTCCCGCTTGAGCGGGAAGGTTGGACTGGATGATCTCTAGAGGTCCCTTCCAACCTTGAATATTCTGTGATTCTGTGAGAATCTTCTTCCTTTTTACTTTTGCTGAACAGTGTTCTTTTTTTTCTCTTGTGTGTGTGTGTGTTTAGGAGGGAAGAAGTTATGTATGTGTTTTATGAGTGCAGTCAATGTTTATGTTGCATATCATGAATATTTGAGACTCGCAAATTTACTTAAAGCTGTTCAGGAGGATATCATGTTACTAGGCCACCTTGCTTTTCTGGATAACAGAACAGCCATCTTAGTGCTGATCCTTTTCATGTGGAGAGCTGCAAGTTTAGAACAGCCTTTCTGTTCTAAATCTGTCCTCAATCTGTAAAATCTGCTTCAAGATTGCAATAACATCATCTACAGTGATGTTCTGAATGTGTAAAGTTGGAAAAAAAAATCACATTAATATAGTTAGGACCAAATATTTTACCCCAACTCTTAAGCAGGTAACAAGGCACAGAGTGACCTTTACTGATTTATTTTATTTTATTTTATTTTATTTTATTTTATTTTATTTTATTTTATTTTATTTTATTTTATTTTATTTTATTTTATTTTATTTTATTTTATNTTATTTTATTTTATTTTATTTTATTTTATTTTATTTTATTTTATTTTATTTTATTTTATTTTATTTTATTTTATTTTATTTTATTTTATTTTATTCCCATTTTACACTAGCTATTGACTACATCAGTTACTGTGGTGATTCACAGCAGTGACAGACTGAGATAATTAAAATCTAAGTAATTGTGCTATTCTACCCATAGGTCAGTCTGTTATTTTGGGAGCTTTGGAAGATGTGCTGTACACCTGCAGAAACAGGATATTGATAATACAGAGCAGTCTTATTCTGTAGGTGCTGCTCAATTCATTTTCACAGCTGAGATTATATTTAAAATCTGTTTAGAGTAGTTCACAACAAAACACTCATGTGAGGTCAGTTCAGAACTGTCTAGAACAGTGTTGATGAAGATCCTTTTCCTTTTTCTCTTGATGTGCCAAACAGAGGAAATGTGCAACTAATCTATGTAGTCTGTAGTCAGAGTAGCCTATTAAGAAAAAAACTGACCCTGTCTTTTTTTCATTCTCCTACAAACATTTTGGGTCTTCTTACGACTCAAGCTTTCCTTTTTTTAACTTTTTTTGGCAATGCAAACTGTACACAATATACTAACTTCAGATGATTTGTGTGCACTCTCAAGATCTGGAATATGTTTGTGGTGCATTTGAGAGGCTTTTCAGGGAAGCTAACAGTGTAACCCCCAGTCTTTCTCCATTCATTCCAGTGAATTAAGTATTGAGAACTGGATTATGCCTGCAGTTTATGCTGGCCATATTTCTCAAGTAATATGGCTTCACCCACCCTGGGCTCAGCAGATCTCCGAGGGAAAACATGACTTTTTAATTGGGAAAGACATATCAACAACTACCATCAGGTAAACTGCCTCCTACCATATGCTAGTAAAGTAAAAGCGCTCTCTGTGGCTTTCACATGTTTAATTTTGTATTCTTGGATAAATAGTGATAAACATACTGTTACTCAGTACAAACTTAATATGTAGTTGTGAGTTCTTTAGGACCTAACTTGGCATGTTTATTCATGTGAATAAACACAGCTAATATTGTACCTTAGTGTTCTAGCTGTTCACACTTCATCTAGTCAAGATTTAGATTTCTTCATTTAAGTCAAAATTGTAGAAAGTTGCTTTTAACAGAGGGTCTGGGTAACCAAGGACAGTAATTAGATCCTCCTCAGCCTTCCCTTCTGAAGACAAAAGTTCCATAGTTCGCTCACTTTCGCCTTATTATCATGGGCTTAACCCTCTAGTTTTAGCAGCTCTGTCTCGGAGCTTTACCAGTTTGTTGACATCTCTCATGTCCCTGGGGGCACCCAGATCTGGGCAGAGTGATTTAAATATGATGTCGCTGACACTGAATAAAGGGAAATAATCTCTTGACCCTTTGGCTGTGTTTTTGCAAATACTCCCAGGTTACTATTGAACATTTTAGTCTAGCCAATTTTTCACTCACACTGTACATCTATTAAATAACTAGTATTATATCATCATATAATAATTGATATTAAACACTTAAAATGAGGAAAATAATACATCTTCAATGATGCGTCCCTGATTTTCTCTATGAGTTATAACAAACGTATTGGCAAGATTTCCTTCTTCCTTTACCGCTCAAACATAGATTGCAAGATTCTAACCTAACGTGGGCTACAGTCTGAAGATAAGATACAATTCGGTGAATGAAGTTGCCTGGATAAAAGGGGTTGGAAATTAAAGGGGGGATGCTACTATTTTTTACAAATTTTGTCATAAGTATTTACACTACTCTATTTCATTTTATTGTTCTAAGGAAGGCTTTGTTTGTTTGTTTTTGTAATGTTCTGATGAGATGGGTCGCATTGTGTTTAAGCTAACTGAGGAAAAAATCCCTAATTTTGCTCTGATTTCAGATGCTCTAGCTAAACTCATGTTTTCAGGCAATGAGGTTACATACTTAAATGGAGTGTGACTGACTAAGCTCCATTCAGTGCAGTTACAACAAAACAAAGATTAAGGAGAAAGCCAAGGATAGCTTTTTTTTTTTTTTTTTTTTTTTTTCTTCTTCTCTCTCTCTAAACTCTCCCATTTGGTACATTCAAGCTCAGAGTTTGTCATGTTCTTACGACAGACCTGGGCATTTCATAAACATGAGGGGTTTGTTTGTTTTCTGGTGCATGAGAGAACACAATTTAACTTGCATCTGTTCAGCCCTGGGTTTTGCTGGCAAGACTTTTGTTTGTTTCCAGTTATCACTGTGGTTTTCCAGTGTGGGTGTTGTTTTTTCAAATTAATATGCTAGTTAAGCACTGGAACCTCCAAGACAGGCAATAAAATCGCCACCTTTTGAGATAGCAAAAGCTGAGCTGGACAAGGCTGTGGGCAGTCTAATCCAGCTAGAGACCTTCAGTGTCCTTCCCAGTCTTACTATTTTTGTGATTCCAATTTCACTGAGACATCCCACACATACACACCTACCTGCATCCTAATTCTGTGAAATTAAGTGAATGGCACCTTGGCATTCATGTATTTTGATTTTGTACAGCTTGAATGAATCCTTAAAAATCTTACTGGCAGAATAAATCTTTTGAAGCAAGTTAAACAGAATAGAGTGAAGAAATAATTTTCTTTACAATCTGGAATAAAAGCCCTACAATTGTGAGTATGTGGTCTGGTCTGAATAAAATCCAAATGATAGCGTGAAATATTTTGCTTTTAGTAACATTTAACCATAAGAATTAAAACACCTCCAGAAATAAGCTGCTTGATGATTGAATAGCTTCCCCACAGATCCTGTGGTTGCCTTAGTAACTTTGAAATTGGCAGTTTCCAGCTGTCTTTGAAAGATGGTTTCAGGTTCTAGGATTACAAAAATCATGAAAGAGTCAGAAATCTGAACTCCCTAATAGTTATGTTTACAGCAGGTGGCTGGATAGGTGATAGAGTGTGAAGTTAGTGTCTCACTGAGGGTAGGATTGTGTCATGAAATTGTTGATATTGAACACCAGAGAATCTCTGAGGAGAAGCTCAGTGAATGCCCCATCAGCAAGATGAACCTGAGGTCCAAGCTCTCCCTTAGCAGGCTCAGGATAGTCCAGCCACCAGACACTGAGGCTCCAAATTTCTGCTGTTCATGAAACTGGCTGTCCCTATAATCAGACGAGGCCCAATCAGGTAAAGTTACTTTTTTTTTTTTTTTCTTTTAATATGAATGCATGACACTTAAAGCATAACGTACCAAAGCAGAGCTTGAAATATTCTTGACACTTGCAAATTGACTTTTAGCTGTTCAGGAGGATATCATGCTATAAGGCCACCTTGCTTTTCTGGATAACAGGACAGCAGTCTTGGTGCCGATCCTTTTCATGTGGAGAGCTGCAAGTTTTAGAACAGCCTTTCTGTCCTCAATCTGTAAAATCTGCTTCAAGGTTGCAATAACATCACCTGCAGTGATGTGCCGAATGTGTGAACTTGAATGAGATTTTCTCGTTAATATAATCAAGACCAATATTTTACCCCAACTCTTAAGCAGGTAATTCTGTGTAAGTGGGATTTCTAGTGTTTTTTAAATTTAGTAGTTTCTATCATATGTACCCATTTATCCTTGAGTTGGTTACCAGTTCTCCTTACATGTAAAATAGGGAATGCTGTCAGTGGTAAAATGCTGCCTATTGATTTGTAACATTTCAGTTGCATACTCAGAGGTTACAGGGCACTTCTCAAACAACTATAAGCATTTTTCTAGAAAAAGAAGGTAGTACGAAATATAAAATATCCATACTTTACAGTCCTATACATAATGTAGACAATATCCTTTTGTTTATGTTGTCTTTGCATGCGTCCGGAAGATGAATTTGTCATTGGATTGTATTTTAATGTAAAATATCCTTTTATCCATTAGTAACCTTGTACAGCTATCATCAAAAATGTAAAATTAATTTTAATATATTGATTCAGCAATAAGAAGTAGAGAAAAAATGTATTTTAAATTCAAGCACCTGCACATTAAAATAATCTTATCTACACAGTTCTGTTCCTTTTTTAACCATCAGATATCTATTCTTTTTTTCTTTCAGGATGTTATAATTGTACAGACTTGTTTCTAAGCACTTTACAAAGGTGTATATTAACTTTGAGTTATTCTTAATTGTAGGGTTACAGGTACAGATCATTACTTTCTAAGTGATGGGCTTTACGTCCCTGCTGATCAACTGGAAAACAAGAAGCCTTTAAGTTTACATGTCATCCTTATTAATCCTACTGAAGCATTGAACAATCTAGAAGAAAATGACAAAGCAGCATCTGCTAAGAGAGTAAAGCTGAGTACAGATGACACAGCAAGCACTGCTCCTGCCTCCTCATCAGTGATTCCTGGTGACCTTGATCACAGCTGCTCAAGTGGGAAGAACAAGGGAATACAAAATACAAGCACACAAAACGGGACAGAAACCTTGTCAGAGGGCTCAGCTTCATGCTCTTCTAGAAACAGTGAATGTCCAATAAGGGAAGTTGTTGAAGATGTATGCCAAGCACTGCAGAAAGGGGATGCATGTGTTTTAGACATTGACTTAGATTTTTTTTCTGTTAAAAATCCCTTCAAAGAAATGTACACGCAGGTAAGCATGAAGACAGACAATCCTCTTGTCATTTCTAAAGGAACAAATGCTAGAAGGACAATGATATCTGTGAAGAAACTCTCATGTAGGCTAAATCTAGCAAATCAGATGCTCGTGGTTAATGAATCATGGCAAATATTTGGAAGAGACCCTCTAAAGGGAGTGTATGCCTCAGGGAAGTACTGCAAACTAATAGGAGTAGACCTTGAAATAGAGTATTTCAAGTAGAACTTGAAATAAATGTTGGGTGCTTTTTCAAGGCCAGAGTTGCATGGCAAGTTGCTTGGGCCACCAAAGCTAAACTTTGTTTCGAGACAGGTTTTCAGTGGTGATGTCTGTAGTACTCGCAGCAGTGGTTATCAAGGAGGGATGGCAGATTTTCTGTCTTCCTCCTGACTCTCTAGGAATACCACAGTGGTATTATACGACCTTACCTCTCAAAAAGGCCCAGAGTTGCTGGATATCCAAATAGTGGCAACTTCTCTCTGTGAGATGCTAGGAGTTCTGCTGTGTTTGTGCTACTGTGTGGAACAGTGAGTAGGTGCCTGTTGTCTCTGATACTAATCTACCCTGAGAATTGAATGTAACGCTCAAGTTGACAAATTCTTATGTGATATCCTGACTGTTTCTAGCAATTGGATCTTATTTATTTGTAATCCCGAGGAACATTATTTTAGCCTTGATGTCTGCTAGAGAACATCTGGCTTATTTTATTTTCAGCCAGACTGCTGCTTTCTTGCCCACTAATGAAGTGAGTATAGTGTTTCTGGCCTGTATTGGCTTATGGAATTTGGAGTTTATGAGCACAGTAACATCAGGCATGTGCAAAGCCAGTTGTTTTATATCACAAGGAGTGTGATATAATATAAATATACAACATATATATGAAGCATTTTGGGGGGATCTTGCTTTAGAAGAATTATATCCAGTACTCAGGGTTTAAAATATATTTTGAGTGAAATAATGGATTTCTTTTTTGTTATGATAGGTCCTCCGTTCTAGGAAATACTTTTAGAATTGGGCTTGTACAGTGCCCCAGCGTGCCTTTTTTGGTACAACAGTATCAGTTTCAGTTAATACTTACAAACTATGAACCCACTATTGTAAAGAGATAATTCCACCAGAAAGTGTTTCCCAAGTTAACAACTGGAACACAAGAATCCGAGTGGAGTGGCCGACACTCCGGAGGGCTGTGCTGCCATCCAGAGGGACCTGGACAGGCTGGAGAGTTGGGCAGAGAGGAACCTCATGAGGTTCAATAAGGATAAGTGCAGGGTCCTGCACCTGGGGAGGAATAACCCCAGGCATCAGTACAGATTAGGGGTCGACCTGCTGGAAAGCACCTCCACGGAGAGGGACCTGGGAGTCCTGGTTGACACCAAGTTAACCATGAGTGAGCAGTGTGCCCTCGTGGCCAAGAAGGCCAATGGGATCCTGGCCTGCATCAGGAGGAGTGTTGCCAGCAGGTCAAGGGAGGTGATTCTGCCCCTCTGCTCAGCTCTGGTGAGGCCGCACCTGGAGTATTGTGTGCAGTTCTGGGCTCCCCAGTATAGGAGGGACGTGGAGCTTCTGGAGAGGGTCCAGAGAAGGGCAACCAGGATGATTAAGGGAATGGAACATCTCCCGTGTGAGGAGAGGCTGAGTGAGCTGGGCCTGTTTTCTCTGGAGAAGAGACGGCTCAGAGGGGATATGATTAATATGTATAAGTTCAGGAAGGGAGAATGCAGGGAGGAAGGGGACAAGCTGTTCTCACTGGTGGCCAGCGATAGGACGAGGGGTAATGGCCACAAGCTGGAGCACAGGAAGTTCCGTCTCCAGGTGAGGAGCAACTTCTTTCCTGTGAGGGTGACAGAGCAGTGGAACAGGCTGCCCAGGGAGGTTGTGGAGTCTCCTACTCTGGAGGTCTTCAAAACCCGCCTGGATGCCACCCTGTGCCACATGCTCTAGGTGTGCCTGCTTGAGCGGGAAGGTTGGACTAGATGATCTGTAGAGGTCCCTTCCAACCTTAAATATTCTGTGAATCCAAGGAAAAGGTAAAAATTAAATATGGTTTAGCACTTCAGGTGGTTATTGTACTCCCACCACAAAAAGCCCCCAAATGAAAAACATTGCTGTAAAGGTGCTTTATATTTCTGTAAAATTAATTTGTCTTAGTCTACATGTCTTTTTGTTCCCTGTGCTGAAAACCTCACAGGTGTTCTCTATTTTAGTGCTCTTTTGTAAAGAGTGAGATCTGTTTATCTTTGATCAGTGCAATAAAATGCACTTTTAATTTCAAGTGTCCAATTAATCTCAACAGCAAAACCCTTAAATACTTCATTGCTAAAACTGTGTTAATGAGGTCAGGTTTAACATTTAGCAGTTGTCAGGTGTTTGACTGAGGCCAGGGAGTATTGTTTCCTCAAGCCTCGCATTCTTTGCCACCTGCATTTGCGGAATTGTCTGTGACAGGGAAGTAGATGAACTATCATGGTAAAACAGTTCTTGAAGATGGAAAGCACTAAAGATTGTTGGGTTTTTTTTCCATGTAAAGAGTCTATTTTTTTTCCTTTCTCCAAGACAGAATATGAGCTTTTGCAAGAGTTGTACAGTTTTAAGAAGCCTCAGAGGAATGCAACAGAGGTATAGTATTTCCTTGCGGGATATATGAGGGATTGATGCTTTTTGCTTACTCAATAATAGTGAGTTATGTCAAAGAAGGAACTTACGAAAGGTGCTTAGTGAAGTGGTCTCTAATTAAGCCACACAGCTTATGCTGAATGCTAATGAGCAGGACCTTGGGAATTTCTTTCCTCAGAAACACTTTGATTAGATGTATGAACTGCATAGATATCTTAATATGAATATGAAATTTAATATGTGTAAACAAGTGATAATTGACAAGGAAGAGGTGAAAACATAGAAACTCATCTGTAGTCTCTTCCTTTTTATAGCTTAATAGGGTATTCTTTCAGCCCTCCCTCTCGCTGGCTGCTCTTCTTTGAAACAGCTGTGATAAATGTCTATGTGGTATTACACCTATTTGTTTAGATATGGTAGGGCAAATATTTTACCACTGTAATGGACTTTTGTTTCTATGTGTGGTGTGCTTCTGAGCCTTGAAAACATAAACCTGTTAGCTGCCAAAATACAGTCATTCAGCCCTGAGTCTAAACCTTGGACACAGCCATGGTAATGGTCATTGCACCAAACAATTTCTGAACAAGATTTTATTTCAGCTTTGGTGGTTCTACCTAAAGATGGTTACATGCACATTCAACACACAATTTTCAAGAAATAGAAAAGCTTATAAATTATACGGGAGTATAAATGATAAATTAGGTATAAATTAAAACACAGGAAGTGTTTTAATATGAGGAAGAAATTCTTTCCCGTGGGGGTGACAGAGCCCTAGAACAAGCTGCCTGGAGAGGTTGTGGAGTCTCCTCTGGAGATCTTCCAAACCCACCTGGATGCCACCCTGTGCCCCGTGCTCTGGATGTCCCTGCTGGAGCAGGGGTTTGGACTAGATGAGCTCTAAAGGTCCTTTCCAACTTCAGCCTTTCTGTGAATCTGTGATCACAAATCAGTACGTATTACTTTGTATGTATAAAGAAGTGGAGACATGTGGAAGCTCAAGTTGACTTTTGTGTTTCTCAGTCACCAATATACCAGGGTACATCTTTAAAAGTTAGGTAAATGTGGAAGGTGCAAGTCCTGTGATTAATCTCCCAGTGAGATTTCAGGGCAGCCAAAATAGCAGAAAGTGATGTAACTATAGAATTGAACAAGGTAAAAACAAATTCATGGATGGTTTTGTAGTGAAACAGTCAACATACAGGAGCTTAAGGTAGAAAGCCAGTGGACGTCACGTTTTCCAAAGATGCCTGATATCTCCCAGGTATCTATTACTTTAAGAGGATTACGGACTGATAACCTTAAATAGTTGTAGGGTACCACTGAATGTACATATCTACCATACTACACAGCAAGATAGGAGGTTTTTCGTTTGGGGTTTATTTTTATTGTAAGTAGTATAGAGGATGATTAGACATGCATCTTTAATGTTAATTACTGGTGCGGCTTTGAAAAAGCCTTATTTTTATCCCAGGATAGGTTTATAGCCTCAGCTCTTCTCAAAGGTTATCCCTAAGCTGACTTTACTGGCCAAAACAGCATCTGCCATATGATGAGCGTAGCATGCTCAGGAGAAGGAATCACTCTGTTCCTAACTCTTATCCATATATTCCAATGTAGCTTCAAATAATTTTCCTTTACACACCACTGCATTGAGTATCTTTTATACCAATTATGCCAAACCGTGCTTTTCATTTGGTTTGTTATGTAGACCCTACTTCTGCAAATATTTGCATGCACAATTTGTATGCATGTAAATAACCTCACTTATTCCTATTGGAATTGCTCCATCATGTTTGCTGAACCTCTTGAGGAAGTACCTAAACTTGCCAGATCAGGACCTTGAAACACTGAGTAGCTGATTTAATAATACCTATTATTTTTTTAATTTAAAGATTCTACATTTTTTGTAATAATGTAAAGCAAACATTTGAGTCCTATGTTTATATAAAATCCAACAAATGCTGCAGCACTTCAAGATTTTACAGACTAAGAGTTAGTCAAATGTAGTTTCTCAGCTTTTCCAGTTTATTCCATTGACACGTAGATGTAACAACTTTGTGGTAGGAAAGACTGAAGGAAAAAATTATTCTGCAGTCATTCATGCTGATCCTCTTGCAAAGATACTCCACAGCAATGAACAGTTGTGTCTGTTTCCTCACCTTGTCAGTCCTTTCAGGATTTTGTAGACTAAACTGAGCTAAAAACAACTTTTTTTGTTTTATTTATTCATTTGTAGCATATTTGTATTTAAAGGAGGGCTTATTGGATTGTGTTGAAAACCGTGTTCATCAGCTGGAAGATCTGGAAGCAGCATTTGCAGACTTGTGTGACAGCGATGATGAAGAGACACTACAGAAATGGGCTTCGTATCCCGGGTAGGAGCCCTCTAACTGATGTAAAACCCCCTTCTACTGAAACATTCTCTCTCCTGATATGGGAAGTTTTTAATGCTCCTGTGGAATGCGGTACATTAATACATCACTTCATTTTTTTTTATTCAAAACTGAGCTTTCTACTGCAAAATTACTTACAAAAAACTTAGCAGTGCCAAGTAGGATTTATGTCCTTTATGGGGAGCCTCTCTGGAGCTCAGTGTACAAGGCTCTCATCCCTGGACTAGCACAGTAGCCATGCAGCAAGACACCTAGGCTTCTCTTGTCAGAGTCAACCCTGCAAACAGGGATACAGCTCTGGGGAAAAAAAAAAGCATACCACCAGAAGAAGGCTGAGGAAAAGAACTGTGGTGTAGACTAAGTCAAAAAGATGTAATTTCTGATCAATTTCCTCAAAAAATATGCAGTACTTAATATCTATATATTTCATCTTTCAATAGAAAAAGTGTACCTTGTGGATGTGTGTTCACAACATACTGTTTTGTTATATCTTTTAAGGGCAGAAGTGTCTGCTGTATGATTTAGTCGATGTGGGACATGCTCATGTGAGACACCTAAAAATTTCTGAATCCAGTCCGTTTTCCTTATTTCTACACTGCAAACAATAACTTAGAATTAGCCCAGCACTGTCCTAGCAGAAAAGGAAGGATGCTGGATAGGATATTTGCAAGATCCTGCTTTTCCTGGTAAACACTGCGAGGTGAATCTTGCACAGCTTCATTCAAGGCCTGTTCTTCATGGCCAGAGGCAGGTTTGGTGACTCAACATTTAGTGGCCTGTATAGAGTAGAACACTTGGATTCTAGGAGGATATGGAAAAGGACAAGGTGGGATAAATGCTTCTGTGCTGCTCTTCCCTGTTCCTGCCTGACCTCATGAGGAATGAGAACTGCAACCTGTGAGAACAGCACCTGGTTAAAGCATACAGGACATACTTGAGACCTGAGTGATGATGGCAAGAATGCATCTCAGCCACATCTGTTATAAATTAACATTTTTAGCTAAAAATGAACTGAACAATTGATAGGTCGCCCATTTTCCCCACCAAATGCAGTGGTTATGGTCATAGCTCCACGGGTCAAAGTTTCCTGTCTAGTTATTGCAACTGTGAGCTTCTTCAGGGCTGCCTGGAAGATCAGCAAGGAGGGCTTGACCGAGGCAGCTGTCAGTGTAGAGGCTCTCTGATAAAGACCCAGTGAAGCAGCACAGTAGCGCGGCTGCTCTCCTTTTCCCTGGATGCAGGATGCCATTGAGGGAAAGGCTTGTTCTCAAGTTTTAGACCATGATGCTTCTTTTCAGAAACTTCTGCTGTTTCTTTTGGGAATCAGGTTTTAACTTTTAATTTTCGGGTTAAATATGAATGCATGCAGCTGTTTACATAAAGGGTTTTGTTTTTAACCGCAGAATGAAGCCGCTTGTTCAACTTGTTCACAGTCTGAAAAGCAGGATGGAGACCCCAGACTATGAAATGGTAGGTCACTAGGCAGGGGAGCACAGCTTTTAAAAGTGTAGCCTGAACATGCTTTACAGCTAAGCTAAGCTGTGCTGTAGCTTAGACTTGCTTCTTGATTCAGGACTTTGTGTGGGTTTGGTGGTTTTACTTCGGCTTATTATTCATATCCTCTTACTTAGGCCAGCCTTTTTCGTTAGTTTCTAAAGTTCTACTTTATTTGTCTATACTTAGGCAAAGTTAATAATATGATCTTTCAGAGTTGTCAAATCTCAAGCTGCTTCCTGTAAAGTAAGGCCTCATTTAACCTCATTTATTACTTTGACTTATAGAATTTAAGGCACCTATTTCTGTAAGATCAAACATACCATCTTCAAGGACTGCAGCAGATTCTGAATTGACAGAAGAGTTATATTTTAATAGAGATACTGAAAAAATAATACAGCCTGCAAAACTCATTTAAAATGTTTGAAGATCTATCAATTACTGGGTCAGAGGAAACTTACTTAGGGTGACACAGGCACATTGTGTCAATAACTAGTCAAATGAAATTAAAATCTCTGTTTAATTTACATATAGGTCCATCAGGCTGGTCTCACCTGTGATTATATTGAGCTTCCCCACCATGTTAGCACTGAAGAGGAGATAGAAGGACTCATAAGATCCATTGAACTTCTGCTAAAAAATATGCCTAAACCAACGCTTGTAACAATTGCTCGGTAAGAATACTTTGATGTTTTCATTTTAAACCACTTTGTGCTTGTAATGCAAAATGACTCAGTGAATATAACATTGGTTGAGTTATCGTAAACTGTTAACAACTGTGTTCGTACTGACAAATCTCCGCTATTTTTATTTTATTTTTTTGAGCTAAGTAATTTTTTGAAATTACTGCATGCTCCCTGTCTAGGATTTATTGTGATGCAGATGGGATTTCTCTTTTTAGTGAAACTTTCAATGGAAGGGAAAAGAGGTAAATAGGTTTGGTATTCTAGAAAGCTCTAATAAAGCTTTATGTAGAAAACATTATATTCTCAGCACTGTAAGGGAATTAGGTGGGAGGATGGAGTTTGAGACAGGAGAGAGATATACTTCCAAGACTACAATGTATCTGCTGACAAATCATTGTAATTTGTCACTTGAAAAATACTGAGTGTGCCTTTAAAGTGCAATAGCAGAACCTTACGTGAGACTGGCTGAAAGAAATAGCATGAGTAATACCTAAAATAAAAGAACATTTAAAGACATGTTCCTTGCATCTGCTACAGAGATATCGGCCACTGTTACAAAGGAAATATTGAATCATTTATGTAAATCTTAACAAATATGAAATCTAAGAAGTTAGCTAGTTTTAACAGGTTTTTTTTGCTGTTCATTAATAGATACTGTAAAAGAAAAATCCAAGAGATCACAATGATTTTATTCAAGTTTTCTCTTTCAGTTTTAATACTTTGTATTAAATTGAAATTGAATTTGAATTAAATTGAATTTTTCAATCTTAACTTTTCACCAGTGCAGTAGATAAAGACTTTGCTTGAATTTTGACTGCCAATTTATGTCAGAGTCATAAAGAGAGCACAACTTAAGGAATGAATAGGTCATTTCTGATTTTCTGCAGACCTTCAGTTCCACATTAGGCAAATTCTTACCTTTTTTGGTAGTGAGGACAAACACAACAGCCTGCCTCGAAGAGGCACTGAGAGGCAGAACTCTCTGAAACTTGCAAGATATTTCAGGTCCCTCGATATGAAGCATTATAAGAATATAAAATGTGGTTATGATGTCTGTACTCCCTCACCCTTTCTTCAAATTCTCATTACAGATCAAGTTTGGATGACTACTGCCCTTCAGAGCAGGTTGATGTCATTCAAGAGAAGGTTCTCGGTTTGCTACGTTCGGCATACGGCTCTCTGGATGTGCACTTAGATTACTCAAGCAGTTCATCTTCTGTGTGACCTTTTTCCACCCTCCAATGCAGTGGATTCATTTAAATTGCAGTGGATTCATTTAAATTTGGATACTAGTTATGGTTGGAGAGGGAAAGCGCTTACTGCAGCAGGATGCACTAGAAGCCAAGGTGACCAAGAGCTAGTTCTAAGTTTCCTTGCTTTATGCAGGTCAGCTGTGTCTGAACTCTCATCTGTGCTTGTCACTGTTCAGATTAATTATGATTATTTTAACTGTATTTATTTTAATTAATGGAAGAGCAAATATTTTTTGCCAAAAAATGTGTGTTTTCATCTGATGTCTGTAAGTCTCTGTAAAAACAAAGACTTCAAAAAAGTTAATGGATTTCTTTTATGTATTTCTTTTTTTTTTAATGGAAGTTGGTGAAATATATTGCACATAACCCAGGAAAACATCTGTTTTATGTGGTGTTTATGGTTTTTGGGGGTGAGGGAGTTTGTTTTTTAACCATCTTAAATCCATCAAGACATTATTCTTGCGTAGTGACTTGCATAGTGACTTTTTCTAACTGCAGTGCTGGAGAGGATTAGAGGTTCTCCTCTCATTTCTTCAGAGCAGTTTATGGTTTCCTGCTTTATCCACTGAGTAACATCTGAGTAGCAGTTATATTTGTATTCAATTGCATTAATATTGTATTTTTTCCCCTCAGTTCATTGGTGACTCGGGCAATATCCCTAAAGTACAACGCTGAGTGCTGGTATTTTTTTAAGATCACATGGTCCTACTTGTGTAATGTTGTTGCAGTAAATGATACACTCTGTTGGGTATAGATACTCTGCTAGTACCTTTAATGTTGGCTGCAGAGTCAGAGAGAGCTCTGCACATTTCTGTCTGGGCTCTTGGGGTTGGGATCAATGTCCCAAACTGGAGCTGCTGCCGCTCATCTGCTTGAGCTTCTTCTAGGCTGTCCTGGAGCTCCTGAGTACACCTGCCCTGCAAGATGTAACCCACGGGACGAACTCTAATGCTAACATGGTTAAAACAGGAGCAGCCAAAATTGTTGATGCATTGAGTCAAAATCCAGGGGAGGAGACAGGCTCCACAAAACCATGCACAGCATGACAAGCAGGACTGGGTTACAGGTGAATCTTAGCAACTTTTTCTGGAAAAAAAGTTAAAACTGGGGCCATGAGGCTGATGAGGTGACAGTTTGGGGTTCTGTGCACTGCTGCTGCCAAGAAATTGTGTCTTGGGCATCTTAGGTGTCAATAGCTGGATGTGTTGCACGCAGAAAGGTCTTACTGAAAAGCCAAGCCAGTTCTCACCATTGTCTTCCAGAAAACAAAGCCCTGTAGTCTTTCCAGCTGCCTTTCCGACTTTTCAGAAAAGTAGTCTTGACTACCTACTTTTTGTAAGCTGGATATAGTTGGTGGAGTAGTGAGTATCCTACAGTAGCATTTAGACAAATTATAAGTAGAAGTATTACTGTATTAAATCCCAAGACAGTTCAAAAAAGTCATTTTGGCATCCCAGGCACTGTTTGCAATGTCTAATTGAATTTGCTTACTTTTGTTTTAACTTCTTGGCTGTTCTGTGCTGAAAATTGTCAGATTGAAGTTTCAGAATACGCTTTCACGATAAAAGAGTGGAGGGGATGGTTAGCATGACTTCAGGATGTCAGACTTAAAATGACATTCGATCACTTGCACTTGGTTTTAATTTTCAAATATTTCTTTACAGAAATTAATATTTGAAATAGAATCAGGTTTTTTTTTGGCAAAGGAAAGAAAAAAGCCTATTTATAAGCCCTATCTTTTCAAAGCCTTTTATTACAATGAATTATAGTAGAATTTAAGTAGATAGCATTTGCAGTCACCTGGTTGTTATCTCCCTTCATGATATGAAATTGCCGTTTTAATTTACATTCAGTTTTGACTTAATTCTTCCTTAGGCAAGCAGCATTCATGCACTGATGTCAACCTGACTAAAGTGGAAGAGTAAACTAATTGTTTTTATTTGAGGAAAAACTAAACCAATTTTCATTTTAGTTGTAAAGGCAGGATGGAGCACTTGGATCACGCATTTTGATAACTGCTGTAAGACAGATCACTCTTAAAGGTAATTTTTCATGTCAGAGTGAGTGAGGGTGGTTACTGAAAGCAGTACTGGCTTAGAGAGCTCCCTCACTCCCACTCTTCCCAAAAGAAAAGCTTCCAATGAAAGCTTTCTTCCACCTTGGAAAAAATAGCTCAACAGCAGGCCTAGGGCCTACTGGTTTTCTTCTTTCCTAACTTTTCTTGCTGTATTTCTTTGAGAGTGTAGTCACACTGTCCCCTGTCTGCAGCTCTCCTCTTGGGAATGTATATTGTTCAAGAAACATGCATGCTGTTTTTTCAGGAAAAAGAATAAAATTTTGTAGGCATCTCAACTTAGAGCATTCACTGCCTTACATACTTTTCTCTCAAGTACAGCTTTGCCAGGACAGAACCACTACTACTTGGTAGGACATCGCTGCCCGTTTCAAGCAGAAGTGACTTCTAGAAGTAAGAGAGGAATCTTTTATAGCCGTTCTGCAAAAGCAGAGCTAAATGCTTCTGATGCTTCTTTAGCTTCAAAAGTCAACCTGTGATGACCAAGGTAACTTGAGGCAGCTGAAGGAGGTCTCTGTTGCTCTTGGAGGAGTCTCACACACAAGTGCCCTGTCTCAGGTGCAAGCACCGACAGAGGCAGAGCCTTCACTAAGCTAGTGGCAGCAATTGCTGTGTTTCCCACTAGATGGAGAGCTAACTGCACTGTTACCTGCTCTTTCCCCTCGCTGCATTGGAAGGCTGCAAATACCTATCCAGCTTATCAGTGTGGTTAAATTGTGTTTATCCTTAGTAAATAGAAGGAGAACAAGTTAACCAGCCTCTTCAACGTTTTATACAATTTCCAGCCATAATGAACTTGCTTTCAGTGTTTGCTCTTAAAATATACAATACAGATAAAGTGAAATGAGAACTCCACAGAAGTGCAGAAAATGCAAATGATGGAAAATTAACTTGAGGATGAGACCAAATGTGACTATTTTAAAGAAAATGTTTTTCTGTGTTTTCTAAATGTGCATATATATATAAAGAGTTGGATAGTACACCTAGTATCATCAAAAGTACTTTTGTACAAATTTTCAGTTCAGAGAGAAAGATTTGACCTTTGAGAGCAACTAGTTTTACATATGAAAGCTGAGTTTTAAGTTCCTAAAGATACAGACTGATCTGCAAGTGGAGAATTGAGTTGTTCTTAAAATTTGAATTCTACCACAAGAGCTCTTCAACAAATTTTCTGGAAATCTGTAGAATAAAACATAAATTATTTACCTGTCTGGCTAGGCAAGTTTAAAATTATTTTTTTCTGAGTGTTTTGCAGTGAAAGACAAAAATTATTGATTTCAGGCTACAAAAGTCAAACTCATATTTGCATCTCTATGAAATGCCTGCCTGCCCTTGTTCTGCTTTTCTTGCTGCTCTCCCTGTGGAGATGCTGGCAGTTTCTTATCCAGCATTTCTCTGCAGACCTGAGATGCAGTCAGCACAGACTGTACAAGCAGGGACAGGTCTTGATGCCAAGGATCCAGGATGGAAGTGTCTGCAGGTGAAATGCGCCTTTACTCCCAGCACCTGAGTGAAGTCACAGGGGCTTTCCAGGCACATGCTGTTGAAATTGGGAGTCTTCAATCAACATGGAAAGCTTCTCTAAATCTCCAGTGCTGCTGTAATCTTCTAAACAAGAGACATCTGTTCCAAACGCTAAGGGGCAGTTGCCTTGTGGGGAATGGGAGGAGGACCCTTGCACACATCCCTGGGTGAGGTGGGAGGTGACTCCACTGTCACCTGGGAAACTACCTAGGAAGCTGGAGCCCTACCCACAGGCTCATGCTTATGACATAGGAAATATAAAGAAAAGGAATCCTTAAAAGAGTTCTCATATTCACTTAGAAGGGTGTTGCACAAAGATTTGGAAGTTGTCCATCAGTTGAAATGAGTTTAGAGAAAAAGTGTAATTGTGGATAATGACACAGGGAAAAAATCAGTAATTTAATATTTACTCACTGTTCTTCTATTTTCTTCATAAATAAAATCTTTGAAAATGATACTTAGTATTTAGCAGGGAAATTCCCTTTCCCTCTGAGGGACCATAATCTCCGGTCTTTCTTTGGCCCGTGCCTAAGAGTGCTGTTGTGAGCACCCCAGATCATCTTTGCTCCTTGTTTCTCCTAAACCCCTGGATGATGAGAAATGGGGCACTGCCGGCAGCCCTGCTGTCAGCAACCAGCATCCAGCAACCTCTCTTCAAGAGACCTTCTTGTGGGCAACTGGGCAAACCTTCTTTACCTCTTGGCAGCAGCAGCCATTTGCTCTCTCAAAAGAGCCCGTTGCAGCCCTCACCACCGCCCTGGGAGCGTAAGCACACCCTTCCCTGCTGGTGTCACAGGGAAGGCAGCCACGGTGCCCTCACAAAACTCGCTCATATTGGCTCTGCCAACTACCAGCCCCTTCTCCGTCCCTGAAGCTGGCCAGACCATTTCTTGCAGACTGTGTTTTGGGACTCAGTTGTCCAAGGACATAACGCAGCCCCCTCTAAACTGGGGCTGTGACCAATGTGACTTCCCCCCACATTCCTGCAGGCCTGTCTTCCCACAGGAGCAGTTCCCAAGTCAGCCTGGTGTTGTGGCTGCACACACTTGGCCTTTTCCTGTGCCCTTTTTTGAAACAGGCAATGAGTTCTCTTCTCCTTCACAGTTCCTTTGATCGTCCAGTTCCATTTGTAGCTTTAGGGAGCACAACTCCAACCCATTCTTCTTGCACCCCTCGACCTTAGCTCAGGATGGAAGAGGAAAGAAACATCTTGGAGAGTCTTGCTAACAGACACTCACTCTTCTAGGGCTGCTCAGCCAAAGGATGTGGCTCCAGCCTGGCCCCGGGTCTACCTGCTGTAGTTCAGGCAGCCCTGGGAATGACAGCTGAAGCCACAGTCCCAACCAGGCACCTCCCTTTCTTCCCAATTGCACATTTTGTCATTCCAAATTGCACACTACAGCCTTCTGTTGGCCCCCTAGTTCCCCCCACCTTTTTTTTTTCCTACCTGGTCTTGAGTTTTCCATCATCAACATCCCAACAAGGGAAGCCAGAAGGACCCTTCCCACTGCATATCCTTGGACAGACACCTTAGTCTATGACCAAGAACCTTGGCCTTCTGGTTCAAATCTCCAGTGAACACACAACCACTAAGAAAAATGAAGCTTTAGGAAAGGAGGACACACAGCTAGCTATTTTAAGAGGCAATAGTTGCTTTTTTGATTTCTACTCTTGACACAACTCAGTTTCCATTCAACTGCTTGTAGTATAATCACTTCTCAAGACAGTACTTAAAATTTGCTTATACTAATTGGTAGTATATTTCAGGTATAGTCTCA